TGTGAGGGAGCATTGGATTGAAACCAATGGACTTCATTATAAATAGACTACTTTCATTCTTTGAAGTTCTCACATTGCACACTCCTAAATCTCTGAAGCTATTTGCATTATTTCTTCTTCTTACCTTTAGTCTTCTTTGTGTTCCACACTCCTAAAATGGGTGTAGTGTCTACTATTGTCCACTATGATGGTTTCATGAACCCATGTCCCATGGAGGGAGTTACCTTCAATACTGGGACTGCAAAACTTGTTCCTTTAAAGAGAGGAATTTCTCTACAAAGGCTGAAGAAGTTGATCCACAAGAAATTGGAGAAAGAACCCCATGAAAATGTAGCAACCATCCACTTTCGCTGTCCAACTAGACTCGGAGTTGGGATCAACAACTTCATTGCTGTTGAGTTGAAAGATGATGACGACGTGGAGGCCATGTTCGATGTGCATGATTCAAACTCAAGTCTATGTGGTATTGAAATTTTGGTTTCATTTAAAACTTCTTCTTCATACCCCAACACACACTCACCAGAAATTTCACCCTTACCCTACCAAGCTTTGCCAAACACTCACCCAGAAATACCCACACATAATGACTACATCCCTTTGACCCAACTTCTAAGTGGCCCTTCCACCAACATCAACGAAGAACTACCCACACAAGAGAACGAAATTGTTGGCCTCCCAATTGAAGTCATTGATCCTTTTAGTGAGGATGAAGACGAAGATGAAATTCTCAGCCAACACCAAGATGATTCAGAGGACGAACAACCACATATCCCTACACATGCACCAAACTTCATGGAACCATACAACCCACCACAACATTTTCTTAACTTTGAAAATCACATTCAACAACAAGACCCAGAGTATGGTCATGCGTTGGACAGAGAGTCTTTTGTTTCTCCGACAGGAACTCTATTTCTTGGACAACGTTTCATAACAAAAGAACAAGTTCAAGATGTCATCAACCGTTTTCACATTGTCAATCACTGCACATACAAGGTGAAAATTTCAAACCAAAGTAGATATGTTGTTGAATGTGGTGATAACCAATGCAATTGGAGATGTCGAGCAATATTGCGTACAAGAGAGCAATATTGGGAGATTATGAAGCTTGAAGGGCACCATACATGCGTTTCGCCATTAATCAGCCAAGACCACAACAAGTTAGGATATAAAATGATTTCCCAAACAATTGGTCAACTAATTGATGCTGATTCGTCAACACTAATATCCACAATCATAGCCCACATCCAATTAACAACGGGTTACACTATAACATACAGGAAGACCTGGTTGGCAAAACAAAGGGCAGTGGAGATCATCTACGACAATTGGGAGGATTCGTATAAGAAGTTGTCTTGTTTGTTACAAGCGATGCAACAATTTGTTCCCGGATTCATCTACAAACTGCAGTCACAACCAGCTTACCAAGGTGAAGTCCTTCAACAAAATTCAAATATTTTTAAACGTGTGTTTTGGGCGTTTAGGTCATGCATAGATGGATTTGTTCACTGCAAGCCCATTGTTCAAGTGGACGAAACTTTTTTGTATGGAAAATATAGAGGTACCTTGTTGGTTGCGGTAGCACAAGATGGCCGCAACAACATCCTCCCCATTGCGTTTGCGAGTGGTTGAAGGTGAAACAAGTGATGCCTGGTTTTTTTCTTAAAAAACCTTCAAAGATATGTCACACCCCAGCGAAGGATTATGCCTCATATCGAATCGACATGAATCCATTAGAAGTGCATACATGAGAAATGAAAGCGGATGGACAGAAAATAATTTAATGCATGTCTACTGCATTAGACACATTGCACAGAATTTTATGAGACATTTCAAAAACACCACACTGAGGAAAGATGTTGTAAATATGGGTAATTCCTTTGCTTCAAATTTGTTTCAATTTATTCATTATATAATTGTTGCTAATAAATATTTATATTAACTATGTTTTTTTAATATTGTTGTAGCGTATGGGATGACTGAACCACGATTCTACTATTATTACAACATCTTGAGGCAATGTGACATACAAGCAGGCTAATTGGTTGGATGAGATACCTAGAGAAAAATGGGCACTTGCATGGGACAATGGGCGACGTTGGGGCCACATGACGACCAACATAGCAGAGTCTATCAACTCGTTTTGAAAAAAACAAGAAATCTACCTATTTGCTCCATGGTCACCGCAACGTACACCCGTTGCAACAAATTTTTCATTGAAAGAGGGAGGCGGATAGATGCCATCATCAATGCTGGTCATGTATACTCTGAAATTTTGGTCAAGAATTTAGAGGAAGCACAAACACATGCAAACACGCACAGGGTCATAACGTTTGACAGGTCTACCACAAAATTTGTAGTAGAAACACAAAACCCGCGTGAAGTTCGACCAGCAGGGAAGTTTGCAGTTCACCTTGATGAGTTATGGTGTGACTGTGAGAAATTCCAAAAATTTCACATGCCTTGTTCACATGTTCTTGCTGCATGCAAGCATGCACACCATGACTTCAACAACTATATTAATTCGATGTATACCTTACAACAAGTTTCAAAGGTATACTGAACACAATTTGGGTTATTGCGAAATGAAGAATATTGGCCAACATACACATGACCTACTTTGTGTGCAAATCCAGAAATGAAAAGAACTTCAAAGGGTCGACCAAAATCAAGTCGTATAAGAACTGAGATGGACATTACGAACATCAAAGTAGGATTAAAAAATGTTCATATTGTCATACCCCTGGTCATAGCAGGAAGAACATGTCCCAATATTGCATGTGCATCTACTTCGCATCATTAGATTGTGTTAGTTAAGAAATGTCTCAATGTATGAAACTTAGGAGTTTTTCAATTAATTGAAAATGATGAAGATCTTATTGAATCATTTGATAAAACGAAGATCTTATTCAATGTATGTTTAAAAAGTTCAAGCAAACTCATTTTAAAGAGTATTTTCATAACTCACTGCATTAATTAATCTGTTGAAAGTTTGTTTAATCTGTTGAAATAGCCGTTTCAATCTGTTAAAAGTCCTTTCAATCCATTAATACGTTCTTCATTCTTTAACAGATTTGTTTTAGCTGATACTACAACGGTTATATCAATTAAAACACTTTACAAAACTTTTCTAAGTTTGATTCAATCGATTGTTTCGTGTTTTAATCGATTGATATACTGCAAAACTTTCTTATAAAAACTTTCCAAGTTATTTTAGCTGATAAAAAGAAGTTTTAATCGATTAAAACTTTGTACAAACTTTTTCAAGTTGTTTTAATCGGTTGAAACGCGTTTTAATCGATTGAAACTCGTATAAAATTTTTCCAAGTTATTTTAATCGATTGAAATACGTTATAATCGATTGAAACAGATCTGATCGGTCATAATTCAATTTGATCGATCATAACCAACTCGATGGGTCATAATCTGCATTCTGATCGATCATTCTGACCTTGAAGTGATTTTAATCGATTGAAACGTGTTTTAATCGATTGAAATAAGTTCTGATCGCTCATATTTCAAATCTAAGCCACTCCACAGAATTGATGCTTGACTGCCCCACAACCTCAAGCACTTTAACCCTGAGTAACCAACCAACCATCAGTCAAGAAATTTTAAATTCTCTTTACATGCTATCATCCCCATATTCACCTTCAATGAATCAATTACAGTCAGCTCCAGGTAAAACAATACAGAAACAATATAATTTCATAAACAGAACAAACTCCCCTTTCAGCAACATCATATAATGCAACCTGGGTCCCCTGCAGGTTTGCTCGCTCAAGCGATGGTTTCTCGCTTGAGCGATAATTGACCATAGCTAAACGTCCAACGCAGTTAGCCACATAATGCAACTTGCGTCACCACATATTTCAATCACTTATCGCTCGAGCGAAAGTACGCCTCGCTCGAGCGAAACAGAACCCGAGAGTCCCCCTTGTTTGAAGGCTTCATCGCTCAAGCGGTGACTTTGTCGCTTGAGCGAGTAATGACCGAATCATGAAACGCCGAACGCAGTTCGCTTGAGTCACCTTAGATAGCGGTTGGCCAAATAACCGCTATCTAAAGTAGTAGTTTAGATAGCGGTTGGCCAAATAACCGCTATCTAAAGTAGTAGTTTAGATAGCGGTTGGCCAAATAACCGCTATCTAAAGTAGTAGTTTAGATAGCGGTTGGGCAAATAACCGCTATCTAATGTAGTAGTTTAGATAGCGGTTGGTCAAATAACCGCTATCTAAAGTCATATATGTCAAAGTGATCGACTATAATTGGATAATAGTCAATCATACTTTTCGCTCAAGCGAGAAAACCTTCGCTTGAGCGAGAATTTACCCCATATTACCCCTTTGTTACAGGTTTCCTCGCTCAAGCGAAGGTTTTCTTCGCTTGAGCGAGAGTTCAGTACGCGAAATAATATTATTTTAATACAGTGAACAGTTGCGCGAAATAATATTATTTTATTATGTGAACAGTAAACAGTGCTAGTTGTGTAAATAAAGTTGCAGAGGTGCTATTTTGGTAAATATTTTTGAAAACAGTATTATTTATGAAAAAAAGTCGGAAAAAGGTTGTAAATAAGATGAGAAACTTAGTAAAAAAAAATCTACCAGAGAGAAAATCAAATAGAAACGGCAGTGGATCAAAAAATTTCCATGGTGGAAACTGTACAACACTCGTTATCGTCCTATCAATCGTAAGCCATATTAATATCTGCACCAAAAAAATTCATTGATGCAACAAATTAACCATATTAAATATATGTGTATGCTAAAACAACTGGTTTGCACTTTGGTTAAAAAAAGTGCATCTGCTTTAGATGAAAGTTGTTCTACCACTTAGTTTCTGCATTTGAAGCAACTGTCTAACATGAAAGAGAGAAGAGTAATCTGCGAGCCAAGAAAATTGGCAAAATCCAACCAAATTATTTAAAATTCTAAAAATGCTTGTTGGATTAAAAAAAATAACAGAAATCAATCTCCATCAGAGAATAAATAGTAATATCAATTTAGTCTAACGGCGTCACCAAATTCAAGATATCTAGGTTCTAGTATGCAAGAAAAGAATAGGAATTAAGTGATACTTACTACAAAGAAAAATGTCTTGAAAAGTATAGTAATTATTAGTTATCTAGAAAACGCTGTCACATCCCGCAAATTAGATGTATTCCAAAACTCTTCGAATAATCTTTTCTTATCTTCCATTTTGCTTTTGAAAAACAGAGAATAGCAATAATTTAACCTATAAAATAACCAGGCAAATGCAGAGAGAACTTAAATATAATTAATCAGTACGACTATTTAAAGAACCATCAGGTTACATGAGTCTACCGACATAGGTAGCTAGGGGATATTGTCGTTGCAGCTGTGGCCACTGAACAAAAAGTTGATCAGCCATTCGCAACTTGTACAGGAGCAAGCCACTCAGCGAGAGCCTTCTCACTCTTGCAATACTCTCAACATAGAAAATTGATGACCATCTGATTCCGAGTACCTGCACAGAAGCTTGAGCGATTTCAGTTGCATTACAAACAATCAAATGAAGTAGATAAATTAAATTATGGAAATGATAGAAGAATAACGAAGGGAATAAGAACCTTAAATATGAATGCAATTGCACAGAGGGGAATACAAGTTCCAGGTCCATTGCAAAGTATCTAGAGAGCAGTATATAAATTACCTCAAATTGAAACAGAGTAAAAAATAATAACAGAATCAAATAATGATTGGCATGGTACCACTTCAGGTCTAATTTTAATCATTAGCCATAGCGCATGAACCATTGCAATTAATGTAGTCCAAACTGAGGTTATATACGATTGACCAACTTCCCTACTCCGATATATCTTCATGAACTGTGCAGTATCGGTGACCCTTGATGCATTCTGCATTAAAATTTATTTCTGATCAGAATCTGTAAACCAGCAACAAGCAGAGGTGAAGTTCAAAACCCATCAAGCTTTAATATAAATTAATATAATGCAGGCATGTCTGTTGAAAGTCCCACATCGCCTACCTCATGTCATTTGATATGGTTTAAATACATGTTAGGCTACTCCACATATTGCCAATTGGTTTTATGTTGGAACCTTAACATGGTATCAGAGCCAAAGCCTAACATCTTTCCGGTTATTGTCATGGGCCAAAAGTTGCCCTTTAGTTGGGTCAAAAGTACCCTTTGCCTGGTCCGGCGGGCTTCGTTGGAGGGGTGTGTTGAAAGTCCCACATCGCCTACCTCATGTCATTTGGTATGGTTTAAATACATGTTAGGCTACTCCACATATTGCCAATTGGTTTTATGTTGGAACCTTAACAATGTCAATATAAGAAAATAGAAAATAGATAGATATATATTTTCTATTTTATCAACAAAATAAATGATACCCTTAAAATTTTGAGACATTTACATGATTTTATTATTTTAGGCAAAAAAAAAAAATCCGTCATGGTAGCATCTATTAAAGCCTACAAACTTCTTGTGACAACAAGCAGAGGTGAAGTTCAAACCCTTGATGCATTCTGCATTAAAATTTATTTCTGATCAGAATCTGTAAACCAGCAACAAGCAGAGGTGAAGTTCAAAACCCATCAAGCTCTAATATAAATTAACATAATGCAGGCATGTCAATATAAGAAAATAGAAAATAGATAGATATATATTTTCTATTTTATCAACAAAATAAATGATACCCTTAAAATTTTGAGACATTTACATGATTTTATTATTTTAGGAAAAAAAAAAATCCGTCATGGTAGCATCTATTAAAGCCTACAAACTTCTTGTGACAACAAGCTATTACTACATTCCTACATACCTCTTGCAAATAACCTATAAGGGACTGGGCAGGCATTGTTTCGGTCTACCTATTGCAAACAACAGTAGTCACGTTTGTAATCATCCGGAAACAATTATTACTGTCACATTACATTATACACGACTTCAGCCAATATAATATTCCCAAACAAAAAGAGTTCCATTATTAACACCTACCAAATGGCAATATGACATAACATGTTGAGCATCAATTGCTAGCCGTTAACATACATTATCTTGATCCATATATTGTAATAAAGGGGGGTCATGTCAAAAACTATCCAATTTAGAAACCCCCCTCCCTCCAACACACACCAAAGTAAGAAAAGAAAAATAGAGTTCCCTAAATAAAAGGTACTTCTTGATACATAATAAAAATTAAAACCTCAGCAGCCAGGGCGCTTTCCAACAACTGAGCTTTTTGAAGACTCATATTATCAGTAGCAGCAGCAATGTAGAATCTTGGATTAAACCTTTCCTTCTGTAACACTGCCAATAGATTAAGCATCTCAGCAGTGTGACCACCTACAGCAGATATAACTATAAATTTGTGGAATTGTCATGAAATGTTTTGATATTGACGGAAAAGAAGGAAAAGTAAGTTAAAACCTGATCCTAAAATAATAAGGGTACTGACAGGTTTTGGAGCTCTTTTGCTCAAGGGCCTGCCACTGTGCTAGATGACATAAAGGAGACGAACCAAAATCAAGGAGACAACAAAAATAGCACTTGAAAAGACAGCAATTGAAGACACATTAGAGAAGCTGCAGCCATTGCATTTGTCCATCAGAGGTAGCTTCAAGATTTCAGTCAGACCTACGCTTACATCTTCAATGCAGAATTCAGGGGAAAATCAATGTTGTAGATATGATTAGTTTCATAAGCAATTAAGCTTGTGTTTATACTTGCAAATTTGTAATTACATAAATACATACAAAAATAAAGGATGCTTTGCTACATAACCCAGTGTAGGAGACAAGACAAAGGGCAGAAACAGAAATACAGATCAATGTACACACACGAAGTTATGATAATGATCTTGCCATATGGGACTATCCATCCCCCTTACAAATCTCACCTACCATGACCTCTCCCCCAAAATTTTTTATAACATACACACACTGAGAAACCCTTTAAGTCAACAATATTATCCTCACGATCATGTCATTAAGCAATATTTTTATTTACAAATAACAAATGCAACTTTAATGCTTGATAGATCTTATTGCATATAATGGGGAAAAGTCTAGTACTACATCAGTTTCAGTTTAATACTATAGATGGAAATAAATAGGGGTGGCAAAGAACATCTGAGAAAAATAATCACAAGACCAAAAACTCACAACATCTCAAAATTATAAAGATAACCACTTTTGAAAAGCTTGAAAGAAATGCTGACAAAAGATTAAAGAGCGTAAGAACTCAGTCAAATCACAAACATTAGGGGGGTGGAACCAATATCTATATCATGTGGTACAGTTTTAGAGTACCAAACTATTAAAACTGGTTCAATTAGAAAACTGGTTCTGATCCAGAAGCAAGTTCCAAAACCATGAACCGATAACCTGGTTTTAGATTTAGAACTAGTTTCAAAATCAGGGTTGAATATTTTTTTTTGCATACCCTGTACTGAAATTTTTTTGTTGAATCATGAAGCAGCATCAGACAGTGTTATCAATCAATGGTGCGATAAGGCAAAAGGCTGAAATTTTGCCATATAAACACGCCATTGCGGTAACGGGCACCCCTTCACAAATTGGAGCATTCCGAACTCTTAGCACATCATAATAGAAAGATCAAATAACTCTATTAACACTGAATTTCAGCAAAATAATATTTCAAGAACAGATTTCAACCAACAACCGGAGTGCGTGTTCAGGCAAAGTGATTCTAGTGAATAAGACCAATAAAAATACAGTAAATGAGTTCAAATCATTCACAATCTCAGAGGTATTAATAATAAGATTAGGTGTAATTTCATCAAAAATGATAGATGTCAATGTAATATCATAAAAAATAATATGTACTTAATATACATTTAATAATATATTTAATTTATTATTTTTGTTCGTTTCAAAATGCAGTTATAACTAAAAAGAAGAGTACCTACGCTCTCAATCCGTTCTAGAAAATAGGATTTGCCATAATAAGTTTTTTTATATTCAACAATAATTATTAAAACACAACTGCAGATAACATAACAATCATCTATCCAACCATAAGGTATATCAGTGGCAACCGCCCGATACGAAAAAGTACGAATCATTCTCATCTCATACCTGCGGCAGCTTCAAATAGATCAGAAATGAATTCTCTTTCTCTGAAACAGAACGCACCAGTGCAGGAAACGAAGAAAGCGAGGCAAGTAAAACATACATAGGAATTTCTTCTTCACTGCTGTTACAGTTTCTGAACCAGAGGTGTCTGAACTTGGATAAAACTACATTAGATCGTAGAATATAAAGTAAAATAAAATAGTATTCATTTCATGGTCCAAGTTCAACTTTGGGCCTGGGCCTCACGGACAGTCCACCTAATATTTGTTTAGACTTCGATTTTTAGTTTTGTTTTTTTCTCTCACAATCAATTAACAATAATTATTATAAAAATCAATTAACGTATCATATTAAATATTATATATAGCAGAGGCTAAGGGAAATATATTATTTTATTTCTCCAATTTATTCTTAAAATTAAATAAAATATTGTTAAGAGACTAATCAGGTGAGATTTGAAATCAATGTTCTAAGAACAAACTACATAATCTTATCTTAACTTATCCTTAATTTTTTAAAATATTACGTTATTCCTATAAAACAAGTTTTAATTTAAATTTATCATTATTAAATATTTAATAAAATATCGGCTAATTTATTACATATGTTAATAAAATCAATGGTATAATAACTTTTGATATCTTATGAAATAATATTTAATTTTTATATGTTTTATTATGTAATGAATAACCTAAAAAAATTATGAATCTGACATAAAACTTATCAAGACAATCTTTTTATTATTCAATACAAAATATACACAAGTGCACAGTTGTTATTATCAAACTCATAGTTCTAATTGTCTGAAAAATCTACGTGTAAAATCTCTAAATATCTTGATATATAAACAACATTCTTTATTTTCCTTTTTCGCAATCATCACGAACTTTATCTGTATCTCTTTGATGGTCTAATTAGATGATGACGATGTCTATGCCCAACATTGCATGTCGAAACCATAAATCTCTACATTTGTTATTAAGCATGTGAAATTTATGCATGATTCATGCTCTAAATCGAACAAAACATTATAAATATTTTTTATTCTTTTGTCTATCAAATTAAATTTACCTGTTTTATTACAAGAATTAACTTTAAATATAATTTTTGAACCTGATAATAATTAACAAATTAATGCTAAATCCTTTTACATATAACACATTTTCTATAAAAAAAATAAAAATAAAGATTTACCTTTAAAAATCAATACCAATATTTGGTCATAGTGATTATTTGGTCTTTAAGTAACAAAAAAAAACTAAACATTTTTAGTTCTTACACTTACAAGAGTTTTTTTTTTTTTAAGTTATAATACTTTTATTTCTTTTGAGAGGTATAATCAATCTCATTTCTATCCATAACCCATTCTCTTAGAATTAAGTACTTTTCCATAATAAAAGAATGTTAGAAGCGTTCTAATCAAATGCTATAAATAAGATACTATATCTTATATATTAATTATTAATATATAATTTGATAACATATCGACTAATATTTAATGATATCTGATATTTTTAATATAATATTAATAATATAATTTTTTTTCAAAAAAATATTATTATTTTATTTAACCAAAAACTTACTATTTCTATGATAATGTCTTAATTATTTATAAATTATTTTATTTATTAATCAATCTATTAATTTATATGATATTATATTTTTATTATTCAATTATTGATTTATCGGAATATCATTTATAAGGAAGTCTCATCAGAACTCATATTGATTTATAAATCTATCCTAATAATCTATCTGATTAGAAATGTTTAATTCTCGATAAAAATCCGATATTTTATAATTTTACATTTGTCGTATCACAATTAAAAAAAAATAGAAGTACAGTACAAATTTTGAAACATATTAAAAAGTATTTAATGAATTATGGTCATATATTGATATTGTTTATGAGTATGAATTCAGATCAATAATAATTTATATAAATTATTATTTTAATTATTTAAAAAAAATTATATATAATAAATAATAAATGAGAACGGTAAAATAAATAATACTTCGTACATTATTACATGAGATCGAAATTCTTTTATTTTTAGATAAAACAGATTTGGTTAGAAAATAGCTTAAGAATATTAAAAAAACTATTATCTTAAATAAATTAAATAAATTATTATTTTAAAATAAGAAGAATAATAATTATAAGAAAGTCATAAAAATATCTTCTTTTAATTTGTTGAACACACTTCACAAAGTCTCGTAATTTTGGAATAAAAGTGAATGAATAAAATTTGTGACTGAAATATTCAATAACATGTACCAAAATTTGACGTAACATAAAAATCAGTACTGTGCTATCACCCTAGAATAAATTTTCTGCATTCAAATTCTCAAAAGTAAAAATAATTCTGCAGTCTTGGTGGTTATGTACTTATGGTCTTCTTAGTTATGTACTTATGGAACAAACATTGAATGCAGAAAATGTGTGTTGAGGGAAATGAAAAGCAAATGTAAATGAATAATTTTGTCATTTAAGAAGATGAAAGGGAGGGATATTAATTGCATATGAGGCATGAGGCATGAGGCATATGCTACTTCTCAATTTTCTTCTTCTTACCCATTGGAAGTTACACTTTATATTTTTAGTCCAGACAATTGCCAACTGATGCCAACAAATATCTGTGTCATCACCTTTCAATTGGGCACGTGACATCAACCATATCTCTAAGCTCAAACTACACAACATCAAATTATTTTGAAGGGAAAGTTTTCAACATAAAGAAGACATGAAAATAGCATATACAAACATTATGTGTGTTAATTATTTGACCGTGAAACAGTTGATTATGAGTAGCAATTTGTTGCTATATTTTGGTAAAAGATATGTATATAGCATGCCTTCAACAACGATGCATTAAAGGGGTTTAGACAAACTTGAGAGTTTAGGGCACATTACACGGCAAGAACAGAGCACACTTTCATTGAGACATTGCTTCAAAAATATCACTACCCTAGATTCAAAGCAATTTAAGCCAGAATTGAATTAGTGAATTGCAATATTTCATGGCCTAAATTGTTAGCTTCGTATTAAATTTGGCACTGTAGAAGTTGCTTTTTGTTTTTGGGGCCGGGAGACATTGTAAAACAACCTTTCCCCACCACATATTGCATGCAAATGGTACCTGCAGGTGTGTGGGGTCATCGTATTTGTTTTCACTTTACCACAAGATAAAATTGACCACATCAGAACCAGCTCAATTTAAATAAAATACACAATTGGCAAGGCCACCCAACTAGTTAGAGATATAGAAAATTAAGATTGGGGATGAAGAAATTTAGGTTATGTTTGGTCGTCCAACTTATTATCTTTTTTGGATTTTGTTGTTAAAATTTAACTCTGGAACTATAAGAGTTTTTAATTCCTGAAAATGTGATTGGTCCAACTTCTCCTAATTAATAATCACTGTCTCTCGTAATCACATAGATTTTATAAAAGAGTGAATGCGTATTCCTAGTATTTCTGTTCTTTCACAATTCTATTGGAGGACTTTTTTTTTTTTTTTCCTCTGATATAGAATATATTTATAATTGTACGCGCTGGCAAAGATCATGGTTTGGATCAGGAGTTAGTTATTTTATATTGTGGTCCTAATGAGAACATTAATATCACGGGTTGGCAAGAACAAATAACCGAAAATGGTGTGGGGTATGTCACATGTTATAACCACTGTCAGCTTCAACCTTGACCCTTCCAACGGGTCCACACAAAACTGCAGAATTTCTCACATAAGATAGATTACTAAGATTAAACCCAACCATTGCAGCCTCCAAATTTGAAAAATTATTTGACACTATCCATGTATTCATTCATTCATCCATTCATGATATCCAACCTATATTTGCGCCGCCATAAAATAGTTATATGTGTTTCATTTCATACAATAGTAATGATTAGAACTCATGAATGTAGTCCATTTTATTTACAGCCATAGAAGCTGACCACAATTGATTACTACTGCAAAGTGCCACATAATTTAAAACTAATCAAGAACTAACTCACATGGATCCGATGGTAGTCCTTGGCGTTGGTGTCTAGAAAGTACAAACCAAACCCTACCCAGAGGAGAGAGTGATGAAAAAGTGAGAGAGACATGGACATGCACACGACACAAATAAATGCACTAGACTAGATATTACATAAGTAAGCTCCTAATAATGGCTGCTTGAGCACTGTTGGAGTCTGTGTTAGCCAAAAGCTCCGATAATCGATCACTTAGATCGTCAACCTCTCTGTGCAAGTTTTTTATGTAGTTGCATGTCTCCTGCAATACCTTAGCAGCTGAAACCTACAATACCCACATGTCATTATCAGTAAACTTCATTATTAAGTATCGAATTATTATAAAATTTGATAAATTTACCTTGTATTATTTATTATAAATGCGATGCATAGTGTTGGTACATTATAATAAAATATATTTTAAGACACAGTTGGAGGAAGGTGTTATAGGTAAGTAATGCAGATACTTTAGTGAACGAGGGCAAGAGGGAGGAATCTGAGTCGGACCCTATAGGCTCTCAAGTTGTGGCTAAAAAGAAAATAAGGGAGAGGGAGGTAACGTGACTTATCTACGAAAACGAAGGGCATCCACACAAAAAGAGCAATGTATTTATGTATGTGTGTGTGCATGTGAGAGAGAGAGAGAGAGAGAGAGGTTGAGAGGGTCAAAGTGAATGAGAGGGACAGTGAGAAAAAGAGAGGGAGCAAAGACAATAAATACCTTGTCGGAGCGCCTGGCGCGAAGCTCAGGGATAAGTTGTTGCAACTTGGAAACGAGATCGGTGATTTGCGCATCGGTGATCTCAGCGGAAGCACCGGATTGTCTGGAACGAGATCTTCTGGTGGACATTGTGAATTAATGGAATGAAGTTAAGGAGGCTTTAATTCAGTTTTGTTGGGGTGTGTCAGAAATGTTATTTGGTGTTGCAAGCAAGAGCAGAGTGTTAATTAATGAAGAAAGGTAGAAAGGAGAGAAGAGAGTTGGTTGGAGTGAGATGAGAGGAGAAGAAGGAGTGAGGGTGGGCAGTGAGAGGAGGGCCAAGCAGGAATGGGGGTGTCAGAGGAGAATGACAGAAAAATGAAAGTAAAGAAAGTTATCTGAAAAGGGAGTGTGTGTGTGAGAGTGAGAGAGTATGATGGAGGTAGGAAGGGAGAGGGAATATTTAAGAGGGGATTTGGAGAGAAGAATATTGAAGAGATGGTAGTGATTAATTAATAGTAATAGTAATAGCAATGGTGGAGAAGATAGAGTAGAAGAGGAGTGCATGGGAGAAAGCAGAGGGCTAGGATTGTTATTAATAGGGTTTAGGGAAGAGAGAAGAAGGAGGGGAATGGGAGAGATACGCCATACTGTCCTTTCTGAATGTGTCCCCTAACTGGGGTTAGAGTTCAAATGGATTAAGCCAAATGTGGTTGTTTATTACCAAACGACGCGGGACCTCTTTGTGTCAGTCTCAGCACGCAAGCCCACGTTATCCCACGCATCCATTTTAATCTTCTCCTCCTTCCTTTTCCACCATATTAACTCTCCCTTCTTGTTCACTAATTACAATCTCTCTCTCTCTCTCTCATCGTTTTTTTACTTAATCCAATAAATTTACTTACTTAAATCAATCCCACAACATGAATATGCAGATATTTTAATATTATGTATAACATTGCACGCAAACTCAAATTCAAATTTTGGATCCCTCCAAGTTTCTCTCCAACAATAACATTTCATATAATATTTTTTATTTATCGTATATGTCAGAATAGAAATATAAATGAATAAAAAAGTTATAAACTATTTTTATTCTCTATTATTAAGTAATATAAAACTATTTTAGTGTATAAGAACAAAGCTACTAACACATGTCTATATAAAATAGTTTTATACACAGACAGAATTGGTATAGTTTTAATTATATTCATTGTAAAATTTAATAATCTTATTAATTATAGACATAGTTTAATTTAAATTACAGAATAAGAATTGACAGTACCGAATATCTGTGTTTATACATACGTACACTATGAATGAATAGTGTTTGAACGTAATAAAATAAAATTGTTGACACTGCAATTAAATAGTACTTCATATACATGCATCCTTATCACAGAGTTTATTAATCCACCGACCATGAAAGGTTACACTGTAAGTGTGTTGTCTTAATCCCTTTTAAATGTGCTGTGTAACAGTAGTTTTTACATCTAACGCTTGTAAACATGAGTGTGTACGAAATTGCATGCTTTGGTATTTTAAAACCATTTTTTTCTTCGGATTCATATGCATGTACATATGATAATTAATCACTCATCAAAAGACAAAAAGATGGAGAACTATGCATAGGATTAGACCTGCCAAGAACAATATTACTGTGGCCCTTGAGCCTGCTGCTGCAAGATCTAAATTCACTTGGGAGTTGGGAGCATGAAACAAGTGGCTATGCTACCGGCTCTGGCTGCGTCTCCACCAAGCAGTGAAGCAGTGACTTTGTTCTTTTGGCTTTTGTCTTCATCTGAAACTCTCAATCAAAACTTTTCACCCCTCCAAATCAGAGGTGAAATTGTTGACCAGTCACTTCTTTCCAAATATTGGTTGGTGCATGCAAGAGAATAAGAATATGTTCATATTACTAACATGGAGGACCTTGAATTCCAGTTTATAAAGGAAAAGTTTAGGCACATTTGTTGATTGTTGACCACTCTCTGCAACTGCTGCATAATTCACGTAATTACATTGGTTTCTAAGTTTGGTTATTACAGTGAAGCTAAACGATGTATTATTATTATTATTATTATTATTATTATTATTATTAATATTATAATTTTCCTACGTAGCACATAACACCACAATGTCACGTGTCATCTCGTTATGTCTGTCTGTCTGGGCATTAAAAACTGTAACATTAGCACGTCTTTTTTGTTGCTGATGCATGTATATTTGGGTAAACGACACATTAACTTTATCACTTTAAATATCTCTCAATTAAAACTATTCTCAAACTAAATTCATTTTACATTTCTTTTTTCTTTCTGTAAAAGGTCAGAGCCGTGTACAAAGTTAAAGAAAGGTGCATTCATTTTTAAACTTAATTGCTTCAACTTAGATAATATTTTTATTTAATTAATTCTTCCTTTTGGACACGCTTATTTTTATTTGAATTATTACTTCCATTATGGCATAAAAAAAAGCCATATTTTTAAATTTAACAATATAAAATTTTAAATAAAGGGAGAGCAACAAATATCCTTAATTTATTCGATTTACTTTTATTTTTAACTGCAAAAAGTGTGAAATTCGTCGCAACCTAATAATTAATAATGGGGTAATTAGTAATGAATCTTACTTCTTTAGCCATAATGCTTAAATTTTCTAAGAAGCTTGATTGAATAATGTGTATATTTTCCCAATAATAATAATGTATTTCTTATATTATATGAATAAATATAAGAAATTTAGCCTTTATCGTATTATTTTATTTTTTAAAACTAATAATTAAGTATTTTATATAACTCTAGTGATTTTCAACGCTGGACGCATATAGTTCAATTCATTTTACTTTCAATATAAATTTTTTTTAGTTTATTTTAAATATATTATCAATATATTTTATATAATATATTGAATATAACTTTTAAAAAAATTATTGTAAAAATCAATAATTTTCAATTTTCACAATTCATAGTTATTAAATGACAAAATTACGTATTATCTTCTTTATTTTATTGCTCCTCGTGAAAAACCCTTTCTTTTAATCATAATCAAACCATTGACAAAACAATCATGTTTCACTCAAGTAGAATTGTAAGAAACTAAATTCTCCATCAAATACGTCATATAGAATTATAAGTAACTAAGTCATGTGTCTCATGTACACACTTCAAATTGAAGTCTACCTTTGAATATTTTCTCGTTTTAATCAAGCAATTAATTAGTATATTATAGGTCCCAAAAAGTCATAGGCTATTCTTACATTTCATTTCATAATATTATTAGGTATTTGAAGACCACGACATTCTAATAAATAAAATACAAATCAATAAAACATCATATTTAATTTAAAATATTAAAATATATAAATTAGTCAAATTTCTCATTTTTATTAACAAAAAATTTCAACTCACACTTCAATTTACAATCATCATCGTAACATACATCCCAATTGAAAACACGATCATCACGCCATTGTGGTTTCTTCCGTCTATTCCTTTCTTTTCTCAAACCCGACCAAATGCTCGAGTTTCTCTGAAATTCCTGGAGGAATAGCTCACGATTTTTCTCAACTTACACGTGTTAAATCATACAACTTATCTTCCTCTCTTTTACAAGTTTTCACGATCTTATAAACAAAAAATTATGACATATCGGATTAGCTTTTAACATGTGGCACATTTATGCCTGTTTACTATGGGAAAACACAGCAAACATCTTTGATATATAAGGTGTTCATCTTTGACCACTTAGTTGTAAGTGCATAGGATACATCTAATTGATACATTTGTAATGTAAACATTGTTTGAAGTACGTCCTATGAAAATAAAATATGAAACGAGTATTATATCCATGTGTACGAAATTATTTATATATACTATTGGTGCTGTGGCCAACTTTGAATAGTTTTATGTTTCACCATGTTTTGTCGTGGATGTTAGAGGTTGATGAATTCATATGACTTAATATGAATCTCTTGAAACTGGTGACTGACAACGTGGGATATTTTACACGTTGCATATGGATTTTTTATGGCGTGATTCTTGGCATACACGTTATATATACTATATAAACGCCCACAATTTTAGCCATATGGAGGGCCACGAAACCCAAAAGTTGGTTCCCATCTGTATCTTTATCTACTAATGGAAGTGAACTCATTGGCATCAGAGATACATATGTTGCCCACTTCATGCTGGATATCACTTTTTTAGATAATGCGGTTTACAATTTAAATTTCACGTCTTTGTGTTCTTTAATTAATATTTTAAGTTCATGGTACTAAAAAAATTATAAATTATTAATATATTTTTCGTTCGGGAAAGGATCGATTTATTGTATTATTATAGGAGTAGTAAAAAGATAATATGTAAAGATTTTATATATATGACGTTGACAGTTATATGTAAGTGTTTTTATAGATTAGACTAAATTGATTTTTTTGGGGGGAAATTTTAGTTTAATTATTTATTTCAAATCTAACATTTAGTTTTTTTTTTTGTATGTAAAGTGACTTTTATATATATAAACTAGATTTTAAATTTCTAAGTTGTATATCTATAATATAGTGTCTGATAGGAAAGTGAAGCTTTTTGTTCTCCTATATTTGAGTTTGGGTACTTCCTGTACCTAAAGTAATGATAATGACAATTAAAAAAGACTAACACATTTATAAAAAAGAAAATAAGAATTGGTATTTACTATACCTAAAGTAATGATAATGACTATTAAAAAAGAAACTAACACATTTCTAAAACAAAATTGAGAATGATGTCTGATTTATATAGATTGAGTTAGGTTGATGGACCTTACAAAGGTTAGGTCTTACTATTGAGTGTCGTCAAAAGTAGGCAAGACTCTTCAATTTTTAATGGGTGCATTCAGTGGCACCTCTTGTGACCATTAATACTTGTCTTGTGTGGCCGATAAAAAAAAAATGTATTGCATACAAATAAACACGTACGTATGTTTAGGGATGCACTCACACATAGGGAGATACACACATTTTATCTTTCTCTCTGTCTATATGAATAAAGACTAAAATTTATTAACAGTGATATAACTAGTTAAAAAAAAATAAAGTAAATATGATGTTATGATTATTAGAAAAATGTGAGTTTGGGAAGTGCAAGGTAGAGAGAAATGTTATTAAATATATGGAAAATATGGGAGAAAAAGAAAGAGATTAATTGGTGATTGAATTGGGGGGCAAGGGGTGTGATACCCCTATACTATTCTCCACTTGAAGTCGAAATGAGTTCCAATAGGTTTGACCAAAATCTGGGTCATTAAATAAACCAACAACGAAAGATACCAAATATCGCTCATGCTTCATCACATGCATGTCACAAGCATTGTGCCCTTTATATCGAATACGTATGGGACCGAAGGAGTTCAGTTCATACCCTCAAAACAAAAGGGACAAAAACCCCTACCCTTGAGGAACAACCCCATATATATGAATATTGTTTATTCGACATGAGTCTCAAACATTTACATCAGCTGAAAACAACAGGGCACGTATCATTGTCTCTCATCATCATCATCATCATCTTATTCCAAAGCCATGCACCTAGTTTTGTAGGTGCATTAATTTTCCATACACATCTTTCATTGCTTAATTAAGATCACTACTCACCGGAGTTTTTCATTTTTTTGTCCTTAATCAAATTTTGACAATCACATCCCATGTACTTTCTTGCACTTTCGTCCTAGTATACTAGTCCTTTTCCCCTACTCCTTTAGCTAGCTACCCCACCACGTATATATGCTGCCCTTTTTAACAATACCATCTCCGAGTTTCAAAAATGGTGTTTAACGATCACATAATAAGCTATATCAATCACATATATATAATGTTAGGATTTCATATTTTAGTTACCTAATAGCATTGCGTTTATCCTTTTAATGTTTCACGTCAAGGTTTACGATTATGATTAAGGGTGTCTGAACCGATGTAAACCAAAATTAATAGATGAAACTGCTCCACGTATACTTCTAAAAAAATTTATTGTGGTTCTTACATATTTATTCCTATGATAACACTGTGGTTGAGTTCTTGTTGATGAACACGATCGTCTCCACCCTTTGTAGAAGTCCAGGAAAATTCACTTACAAGACGGGACTTTGATGATCAGATTAGTAAAACTGCATAAAAAACACGAACGAGAGCGAGAATATAAGTCACTAATTTTTTAATGCATATACTTATTTAATATTATTCGTCTAAGTCACTAATTTTTTTATTTTATGATATAGTAATTGATTTATCCATCTTTGAGGTAGATAAGAGGGATTAGAAGAAATATATTATATAATTTTTTTTTATGAAAGACTTATTAAGATATAATTAAATTTAATACAAAATAAAAATGATTTTTTTAAAATACTAATGAAATTTTTCTATGATAAACATGGAGGGTTGAGTGTCTAATTAGTTGTCCTATAAATTTAAGAATTTCATATGATGGGTTATCTTAATAAGTATGTTCCGCTATGAAAAAAAAATAGAGTGAAACATATTTGTTAATTTGAAAAAAATATATAATAATAATAATAATAATAAATTGTCATTTTTAAAAATAATAACAATAATTAATAATTATAAATTTCCTGTATATTTATGATAAATGGATGATATTAAAATTATTATTTTTTATATATTTTTAATATTTTATTATATTTTTTACTGAGAAATGAAACCTAAAAGTTTGGCCAAGTTGCAAATATAGAATGGCATCCTTTCAAAATTGAGGAAGGGCATGCATGGATAGCTGGAGATGAGCTACTTGCCCTTGCAACTACAGTACGATCCACGTGATTTCATAGAATCTTACAAAACAAAGGACACTTTATATATATATATATATATATATATATATATATATATATATATATATATATATATATATATATATCTTCAACTAGCTACAAAAACAATAATATTAGATTAAATATATAATCTGAAATTAATTAAGCTCCCAAGATATTCATCTCATATTTTAATATACGCATGTGATGTATTTTTTATAATTCCATAGGTATAACAATGGGAACACCATGCATGTAATAAATTTGCTAAGCAAATCAGTGATGCATACATACCAATGGAAACTTCCTTTTAATTAAGACAAAGTTGCCCTAAAGATTCACTGTCACTCACAGCTTAGCCTTTTGATTTGGGAATGACTTGCACTTGGTTTCCCTTTCAGTGCGTGCGGCTTTCTAAGAGGCAAGTTCACGACAAAAAGTTTAAGGATTCTACAACTCAAGCTACCATTGCAAATGAAATAAGATAAGAGTTTCTCCCCAGTGAAAATATTTTGTCGTCTAATTTGGATCATCATCAACCACTTTTTGTCCATTTCCCACTATGTTGTTTTCTTTACCTAAATGGATATTCAAAAGTTTAGTTAATATCTTCCTAACTTTTTTTCTACTCTATAAAGGAAACGGTATATATCATTTGAATTTTTTAAAATTTTTATTTTACTTAATAAATAGATTATTTAAATTGTTGGTTCAATAGATTAAAAAAATAGCGCTTAAAGGCATTATATATAATCTTGAGAATTTTATTTTTTTTCTCACATACAGTATCCTTCCTTAACGTCCTGTTTGTTTCCATCTCACACCTAATTAAAAGTACCACCACTATCTATCTATCTATCGATAAAAATAATTAATGCATGAACTGTCTAAAAGTATGTCCGATAAAATGACCATAAAAACATCGTACAACAAAATTATGTCTACCTATCCAAAATACTTCATAAGAAATTGTTCAAAGAAAAGCTCTAACATACTAAGTTGTTCACTACTACAACTAATAGAACATATTTTCAAGAAACTTTCAATGAGAATTGACATGCAACGATAAAAGAAACGATAAATATAACCAGGTAACGTAGGCAAGGTGGCCAAACCCCAAAAGGAAAAGTAGTCAATGTACTACAAAGACTAATCCGATTTCATAATTTTTTATAATAATGTTGTTAGGATCATTAACATATTTTATTTTTAAAAATTCTAATTTATTATGATTTTATTCTTAAAATACATCTTATTATTATTATTATTATCATTATTATTATAAACTATAATTAAATGCTTATTAAGTTCTACAATTCTGATAAAATGTAGGTATAGTATTTAGTGATCAACTCACAACAGAATCAATCCACTTATATAATTTTTTATTTATATATTTATTAAAAAAGCACAAATAAATTAAAGCAAAATAATAAATCAAAATAAATATACAAATTTAAAATAACCAAAAAAAAAGTTAAAATTATAAATTTCTTACTTGTATTAAAAGAAAAAATAGGAAAATGAGACTTATTTGGAGGAGAAATAAAACTAAAATAATTAAGGTGATAAAACAAGAAGATAAATAGTAAAAAAAAACCACAGTACCACAAGAAAGAAGAAACAAATAAAAAAAGAAAAAAATGTAAAAGAGTACATGAAATATTTTTGTATTTATAATCGTATACATGATTTTTTTTGTTACTTTAAATTATATAATAAATATTTGTTATGTTAATAAAAATTAAAATTAATATAAAAACACTAATTATAAAATTATCGACCAATTATTTAATCATTATAATAATTTAGCATTAAATATTATTTTTCTCTATCCATTATCTATCAAATAAACTTATTCCTAAAATCAATATAGTTATAAAGACATTGACATTCCTTCTCAATGTTATAAACTCTCTTTATTAGAGTCTTAAGAAATATTATAAACCTTTCATTCTTAAATATTTTAGTGAAAACTAATTTAAACAACAAAGTAATTAAAATGTGGAAACTAACTTAAATAACTAAAACATAGACAATCTAGATATAATAACCAAAAAATTGTGATGCTAATATCAACGATGACACTTCAAAATATCTTAAATAATTTCTTAACTAAGATACGTAAATGGTAGTTTACGTAATAAACACTTTTCATAAACTTGTTTACATTAGACAATTTAATTTACACTCATGTAGTATTATGTTGTTTATGATAATTTGATTAATATTTCAATTTTTTTATTTTACAAAATTAAATATTAATATTTTAAAGTGTGTTTCCTTTAATAAGTCTATAATTATTTATTTAAAACTTTAAAATCATTAAAATAGTTTGTTTCTGATATTAAATGTTAACTTATATTTATATTAATAATTTGAAATACGTATGTTTTTAACGAAAAAATTCTTTTTAATTATAGAATGTTGATTCCAATTACTACAAGACAACACTTTACTTATAATCGTTATTCAAAATTAAAAAAAAATATATATTAATTAGAATGAACATCTTATCACAGAAAAAAGAAAAATCTCATCCATTCGAAATATATAAACTGTAAATTGTTGACTTACGTAATGCAAACCTATCATAATTAACACCAACATCAAGAACAAAGGTATAAACTAAGTAGATATTTAATTAGACATAATTGGTGTCCATCTTTTTTGTAATTAGTTTAGTTAAGTCTAAACTTTGAATGCAGTGCTTGTGAACAAGGCAGAAGATTACATAGTATTAGGAAACACAATAGGGAATGTAAGTTCCATATTATGTGAAAACGAGAAAATTGAATAACATGTGACCTATAATCTAATATTTTTAGGTTTTTGGTTGAGACTGGAGTCAATATTTTATATGAGTTGAGTTTATGTTCTATTAATATTGTTATCTCTATTGAATCTCCCTCAAAAGAGTGGTATGAGCGTCATCATTAATATTATTTTTTCTATTGAATTCTTTCAAAAGAGTGGTATCAGAAAGTCTCACATTAATTAAGAATATATGATTTAATATAAGTATAAGAATACATAACTGATCCCACGTTAAATCAAAATAAAAAAGTTAAACAAAATATAAAAAAATAAATTAAATCTCAATTGAGTAAAGTTAAGCTCAATATTGAATAATAATAAAAAATTTCACCATATCAATTATTTGTATAAATATTGTTCTCGCATTTAATTCTTCTTAAAAGACTCAACACAAAGTTATGTCTCTATGGGGGTTCTGGTGGCGTCAGCAGCTTGAAATAACTGTCACAGATGAGACTGAAACAAAAGGCATGCACCAAATTGGTCTTTGTCACCAAATTGTCACCTTCACCGGTCAAGGGGTGTGTAGCAACATCAAACTCTGATGACCCTTGTGTTGTGATCTCTACTTTATCTTAAAAATCCATATACCCACATAAATACCATACATATGTTATGCATAGAAGATAGAAAGATGCCAAAAATCCTGCAACTGAACAATTCATTTGCCACAGCCGATGTCGTCCATTTGCATAGCACAACGATGTAGACTACCAATGCCACTTTTGCCACACAAACCCGACAATTCGCCGCTAAATGTTCCTGTCCTTTTCCTTCCAATGTCAATGCCCACCACCCACTCTCACACCATATTGGTTCCTTGAACTTGAGCTTCACCCTCTTTCGTGGATAATACTAACACATGCTTGGTCTTTGCAAACTCATTCTTTTTTACTGTGTAATTCCAACTTTGTAATGTAGCTGTAATACGTCATCTTTTAGATCATTCAAATTGGAAATTTGTAATTGTAACTGATTTTATATGTCATCATCTTATCAATTAACATACGGCTAAAAATGAGACTTTTTCATGCAAAAACAATATAAAAACCCCCTTATCAATTTTGGAATATTAAGATGAGGTAGCTGTCTTGTATATTGGTTTATCAGTGTCTTTTGTGTGACCATTTTCAAAATTAAAGCTTGGAACAGCTTAGTTGAATTTGAACATTTTGTCGGTTTTTCAACAAAAAGGGGTTCTTTATTTATTTTTATTTAATTTTCTGTTTGGGGGCAATGAATTGGGTTTGACATTGAAACAAGAGGGATATGTTGGGGGACTTTTGTTTCATCTGACATGTGAAGATATATGGTTGGGTGTGGTGCATAGTAGTCGAAGGTCGTAGTCAAGTCCATCAATTGGACCAAAATTAAGGGCAACAACCCACGTAGTGGAAAACAAGAAGCCATGGTTAAAAATTGACCAATTTCTACAAAATTCTGGTACAGGCTGCAAGGTACTCTGCATATTTTGGCCATGTGGGTGTGTTTCCATTGTGCTGAAATTTAGGAGAATTTAGAGTGTTGATAAAAAGTGAGATTAGTGATGGTGTGAGACATGGTGCAGTTGCAGTGATGAAAGGAGGCCCCCAAAAGAAAAACTGGGATGGGATGGTGGCAATTGCTCATTCATCATGTGCCCATTTCTCATGATTTGATCTGTCTCATGACTAGTCAAGATCACCTCTCTCTCTGCTCAATCTTGGTCTTATTTTCCCCTCTTTTTTCTCTTTTTAGCTTCTTCCTATCACACACTTTTTGAATCATCATCAATTATTTCGAGTACATGCAGCAGAACCAATGCAATCTCTTTGAATTTTTGTTATCCCGTCTAAATTTTCAATTTACTCCATCAAATAAGTCACATTTATAGTCATAAAACAACAGAATTCATAGAGTTTAATTGGTAGCCCAGTTCAGTAACCAGTTTGAGTCCATCGTTGGATCAGATACATACAAATTATGTCAAACCAAAATGAATTTATCAGATCCAGATACATGCGAAATGTTAAAGCAATGATTCTTCCAATTACTCTTTAAATAAACATTCACCATTTCTTGACGGTTGAAATTTTTTATTTTTAACCCAACCCGTTTTCTAACCTCTAAAATCACTGGATGAAACTAACATTCGAAAAGAAAAGAAAAAAAAAAAAACAATACCTACTCGGAGAAATCGTACACTGATATTAAATGTGATGAAGAATACAAAGTTTGTTTGTCTTTTTTCTTAGCTAGCTATGACATCAATACTATATATATGTGTACAATACTGACATTTAGAAGGAATAAAGAAATAATTCTTCGGATGTAATAGTAATTTTATTAATTTTGTCTTTAAAATTTATAAGATTGCAGAATTTAAAAAATTAAATTCATTTAATTATTTTTAATTAACCTCTTTTTTATGGATCCTTTTTATCAGCAACTAGTATGATGATAATGTCTTGTTATGAAAAAGAAAATTTAAAATATAATTCATGAGTCTTATAAAGATAATGGTTTCGACATTGTAAATCACTAATATTTTTTCCAAATATAAGCAACTTGTAACTACCTTTCTTTTATTTAATGATACTTTTCGTAAAATATATTAACTTTAACTAATATTTAACCTTTAATTAAACCATCATAACATGTATTTTTTTTATGAATAAAATGTTTTAGAAACAATTTTAAAACTTTGTAAAATTTATTGCACTCAACTATTTTCCTTACATTGAGTAAAATTATTAAATACAGTCTTTTTTTTAATTCAACTAAATTAACAATTTTTATTAAGCAAAGAGAGAGAAGTAATACCTCTGTTGTAGTGCATATATTCCTTAACATGTATTTATTTATAATTTAAAATTTATTCCAATGTGCCTCATAATTTATAATTAATACTTCCTTTTTTTATGTAAAAAAATGTAATACATATTTTAACCTTAATAAAATATTTATAAGATTTTATATTTTATTTATTGTTAATCAATAATAAATTTACAAATGTAAATTACTTAAACATTAGAAGAGAAGTAAAAGTATAATTCACAACAATTTTATTTTGAATTTTAAAAACAATACATAAATAGAAATATTTTTTTCAAATCCAACAGTTAAAAATAAATGAGAATAAAATACATTATTTTGATATTTCTTTATTTTGATATTTTTTATAATTATTTCATTAGTTATTTTAATTCATAAATGAAGAATGTTGTATGAATGGTCTATTTCTCTCTTATAAAAAATGAAAAACTTGAAAGATGTAGTTTTAAAAAATAAGAATTTACAACTGTTTTCTTTTCATACATTAATTGTTAAAAAATTATTTCACAAAATATTACAATTATGATAAATATAATTGCATTAACTAATTGAGTACAAAATTTAACGAATATAAACTAATTATGAGTTTCTTATGTTCAAGGATAAGATAAATTAGTAACACTGATCCAAATGTCTGTGGATGAAAATGGTTAGTTTTTAAGAATTTTTTAACCTCGAGATCTTTTTGATTCCTTAAGTAAGAAATATTTATTTATATAAAAAAAATCACCGGAGTTGATCTATAGCATACTTTATTTTTTTTAAAACAAAATTTTATTTTTTAAGGATAAAAAATTATTTATTTAAAAACAAAAAATATAAAACAAATTACATTATTTAATGAAATTGTTTAGAGTTCATTAACTATAATTAATTAACAATGGTGTAAATAATAAAAAAAATGTTAAGCATTTTTTTTTTAATAATAAGTGTGGTATAAGAAGGTTTTATGACTTATTATGTTATATAACCTTCTCCAAAAATGTAATTGAGTTAATGATCTTATGCACATTACAACTATATATTAAAGATGTAAATGGAACAACATACCAAAGAGGCCAAATGTGGTGTTGTTAATAAAAATGGCAAGATAAAAAATAGAAAGACATTAGCTTGTACCACTCAATCAACTTCTTCACCAAACATCACTCATACTTGTTAATAAATACTTCACACTATTACTAAAACATTATCATTTGATTTTTCAAACTCTTAAATATTAAATAAATCTATAAATAAATTCCAAAATCTAAATACTTATTTTCTTTTTAATTCCTACATAGTGAAAAATATTTTTTTATATTAAGAGAATAAAATAAATAAAAAGTAAGATAAATCTATTTATTACTTTAATATTATTAAAGTAAATATTTATTACTATATAATGGATTATATTAAAACTCACTATTTTATGAAGAAAATTCAAGTGCCTTTTACATTCTCGAGTTATATATATTTTAAATTAGGTTTTTTCTAATTACATAAAAATAAATACATCAAACAATCAATCCATGTATAAAAAGTTCAACTGTCATACGCAACAATTCATATTATCGTTACATCTTCTTTAAACTAGCTTTTAAATAAACTTAATTAACATATATATATATATATATATATATATATATATATATATATATATTATAATGTGTAATAAAATAATACATAGTTTTCATTGCATGTGATTAACTTGCTATTAAAAATTATTCAATTAGTTGTATCGTTTGAATATAGTTTCCCGAAAATTAGGGCAAAAGAAGAGGGATATTGTTTGATTTCATTAAAAAAGAGCACATGTTCTGTTTCTAACCTTCTTAGAAGAACCACAGAAAATAAATTCTTAAGGACAAGACATGGAGAGTGAAGGTGGGTGAAAACACATTAAGCAAAAAGTACCATAAATGGGTCACCCTCATAACCCTTTATCAGTCTCTTCTTCATGCATTTACGGTCACTTAACCCTTTCTTTCATGTGATTTTGTCATATATGTACCAATCTATAGATTAAACCATTCATTGTCCTTTCTCAAGCACCCATGTTAGATAATTGAAATTTTTTAAATCATCTCTTGTCTTATTAATTTCGTTAACAATAGTAAAATATTAAACGAATCATGGAAATATTATTAAATATTTATACCACATTTTTATTAATAATTATATCACAAAAAATTAATCAAACTTAAATATACTTTTGATCATTAGCTAGTTTTGATTTAATCTTTTAAAAAAATTGTCTTTCAACCCTGTGAAATTTGAAATATGTGTTTTTTATAAGTATATAAATTTTGGATTTAGTTCCTATAAAATGTTTTTCTTTAATTTTAATCTTTCAAATATTTTAAAATAGTTTTAATATTTATTTTAAAATAGATAAATATATTAGTAAAAAAAACATGGTGAAATCGCACGTTATAGTGATGGTTTGTTACTATGTAAAAAAAAAATAGATACACGTGCATTATTAGTTTAAAAAAATTGAATTTGCTTATTATTGTACGTAATATATGTAAAAGGTCAGACAATTTTATAGATACTGAAATCCCACCCTATTATTAATAATTTTTCTTAATGTAAGAAGTAGATATATGTGAATTACATAACGAAATCAAATATCTATTTTAAAAATAACTCAAATGTCTATTTTTAACGTAATTATAATGAAAAACAATGTAAATTTTTACAAGTGATTCTATTATTAAATAGATTATCATTAGTATACAATAATTTTTTTATGTTATTTTGATTTTTTTATACTTTTATTAAACTTTAATATCAAGGCAAGAAATATAAACTTACTTAAATATAAGATTCTACTTAAATTCGTGTTTGATGTTTAAAATAATCACCAAGATTTCAATTTCAATAAAAGAATTACAATACAAATATTTAATTTACAAATAACAGGAGAAAGAAAGATAAGTACTTAAGTTTGGTATTAAATGAGATACTATTATAAAATAACATAATCTTGATAATAGAAGAAGAATAACCCTACCAAAATATAAATGGAGACAAACCAATAATAAAAACAAAAATATAAATAAGATAATGATTTCTATAATAATAGGAGGTGATAAAGAATAATGATAATGATAATAAAAAAAAAGACACTAATAATGACAAGACTACAACATTAATATTAACCATAACAATACCAAACAAAAAATAATAATAATAATAATAATGTGACTGGCAAAATACATAAAAGAAATAGAAACATAAAAGTATTAATTTTAATAAGATAATAGATACTAAAATGTTTCAATCTAATTAAAAATAAATGTTTAGAACCACAAATAGATCGATAAGGTTGTTGCTGTTCAATATAAATGAAAATTACTGTGATATTGTTGTGAGTTTCATTCTAAAGAAAATTACCTCGAGAAAAATATAAAATAAAATTTACCTTGAGAAAAATAAAATCTTAAAAAAATATATAAAATAAATTTTACGTGAATCCAATTTTAAAATTTTCTGAGTAATAAAAAAAGTTGAAGTAAAAATATATTTTATGCTAGTAAATAAAAAAGAAAATTAAATATCTCTTTTTATGCTGACCAAAACATGTAATTTTAAATCCTAATTAATTATATTTTTTTTATAGAAGAAGATAAAAGAAAAAACTAGTTCGAAAGCATAAATATGAGATTATTATTTTTTACATTAATTGTTATCCTAATAACCCATCTTAACTAATATTTTGAAAATAAATACTATATTATTAATAAAGAATAAAAAATATAAAATATTTTTTTATTTAATATATTTAATAAATTATTTTAATATTTAAAACAATTAAATATGACAAAATTATTAATATATAAATAAATATATTTAGTTATCACTAAACTTCAAGATAAAAAATTATAAATATAAGATTATAAAAATTTGTGAAACTAGGACGTTCTTACATTCTACAGAATTCTATCACATTATTTATAATAGATATAAAAATTACATCGGTTAAGATAACAATTAATATACGAGTTTTCTCCACCTTGTAAATAATATAATCAATGTAAAAAAAATCTCAATTCTACCAGTTAATGTCATAAAAATAATAATATCATAAGAAAATGAATGTTATTTAATTATTTAAAACATGAAAGGTGTTTATTTTTATTTAAAAAGTATAAAGAATATGAATGCATTTTATTAAAATCATAAAAGAAAATATCTATTTGAAAATTAAAAAATGCATAAATGTAACTTGTTCTAAATAAATTAAAAATAAAATTAAATATTTTATTATAAGTTTCATAATTAAATTATTTAAAATTTTGATCAGAATTATTTATTTAAGGAATTTTTTTAATTTTAAACAATTTTTCTATTTTTAATTAATTTAGATGTAGAATTCATCATAAAATATTTATTTTTATTTTTAAATCATTATTGATAATAATTCCTTTTATAAATGTTATAAAGTATACTTATTTAAAGAAATACAATTGAAATTAATAGAAAAATCAATTAATCCGTTGAATCATTTAGGCAAGATCCTAATTTGATTAATGTTAAAGAGAAAAACATTTAATAAAAAACAATCATTAACTAAAGCTAGTGAATACATGTGCATTGTGGTGAAAGAAGAAGCAAGGAAAGTGAGCAAAAGTTAAGACAATAAATAGAATGGAAGAAGAAGAAGAAGAAGAAGATAAAGGCACATTTTTTATGCTCCCAATGCCTAAGCAATGAAAGTTCAGTCGCATTCATTTGTGCCGTAATATCTGCAATGCATTTTCATACCTCCCAAACTTCATGCCTCTCATCTCAATATCATTAGTGTACCCACATCTTGCCGTTAATTTTTTTTCCATGTAGAAACTATAATTTTTATGGAGTTCTTTATTTATTCATTTTAAAATTAGGTTTTAATCTTTTATTTTAAAATCTAAAATTTTTATTTGATAATACTTTTGTTAAATTATTTTTTACTTTTACTATTTTTCATAATATTTATGTTATATTGTTCAACTTTATTATTATTAAATTATTAAATCTATCTTTCGATTTTCGTTGTAAGTCAATTATTTTCAAATTTTAAAAAATTTTAAAGCTACAACATTAAACTAAATCTTTTACATAAAATAACAAAATCCTTATACGTTAATTTTATAAATTAGTTATAAATTGTATAAAACGATTACGCATTTTATTTTTACAAAGTTATAAACTGATTTGTATAACAATTTTTTATATTGAGTTGTATATTGTACAAAAATCTGAGAAGAAAGTAATAATCAAATAACGTAAATAAGATGTGTCTAACTTTTAATTCAATAGAATGAAAAATAATATATTTATAGATTTGAAGTATATTTTGATAATTTGTGCAGTAAAAACATCCTTAAATATTTTATTATTTGTTTAAAAGTCCCAAATCAATCAATTGGTAAATATTAACTTCTTTCACTGTAAAAATACACTCTTAAACAAAAGATTTTTTTTTTTTTCATAAATGTAGAATCTTGACTCATCATGTTTGAAAGTTGGCCTCTTTCTTGGAAATAATCATGTATGTTTTTTTGGACAATATTATTGATTTCAGGGTTAAGAATGAGACCTTAAAGAAAATGTTATGAATTGGGTTTGGAGATGTGAAAAAGTGGTATTGGAATGAATGGTAATGAAGAAGCCAACAAGATTTCATTGATCAAGTTTAAACGACAAAAGGTTTTGACTACTCCATTATTGCATACCCTGACAAAACACAATCTACCATGTGGAGTGGTCATATGTGGACAAATTTGAAAAAAGAAATAATAAAGTGAAGGAGTAGGTTAAACCATCTCTTGGTTACTATTAATCCTTAGAAAGTATGAATCAACACCACATCAGTATTTACTAAAGGCTCTGTGCTTTTGGATTAAAATTTGAATTTTAAAGTGAAAAAACAAACTGATCAAGTCTTTAAGTTCTCAGTCACTTTGCAAGTTAAATATATATAATTATATATATATATATATATATATATATAATTAATAATATAGAATAAAATAATGAAATGAAAAATATGTATTTTTTTTAAAATAAGTCATTATTCATAGCAAGATTATTAGTTATTAAGATTATGTGTAAGCAACTTCATTATGGTGAAAATATATATATAAACATAGTTAAAAATAGTTAAGAAAACTTATAAATTAAAAGTTAAAATTTTAGGAATAGGTTTGTCAATAAAAAATATAATAAATATTAAAATAAATAGAAAATTGTATTTACAAAATAATAAATATATGTTTTTATCTTTATTGCATCATAACAAAATATTTTGATTGAAATATCTCATAAAATTGTTAGTTAAAATACATTTATTCATTGAATAATAATTACGCTGATATTGAGCATCTTATAAATTTAGAAAATGTTCCCTCCTGAGTTGTTTCTTTTTTTGTTTTTTTGGTATCTCTAACCAGCTTATAGTGCATTTTTTTTATTGTGGAAATTTAGTGATACAAAAATTATATATATTGAAGTACGAGAAAATACAGTGGAGAGAACATGCATGAAAACAGGTCATAACATAAATATACTTTACCTAAAATGTAAATTTAAATGCAAATCCTAATAAATACTAATTAAATAAAACATAATTGCATGGGCATCAAATTAAGATCAATAAGAAATTTGTAGTTTTGAAATTGCCTAATTTGACCAGTTTCATTGACGTCTGAAATCAATTTTACACATTCTAAACATGCATTATAATCACATTCAACTGTTCAAAACTATTATATTAAAATCTAAATCAACGAGACCCTTAAGCTAGCTTATTTTAATTATATCCCAAATCTTAGGCCCCGGGGCAATTTTTTCAAAGGAAAATTTTTGAGCAGGAAACAGCATTTGGATTGAAGCGTACAAACAAGCTCTTGAACTGGATACTGTCTGAATTCATGTTTGTGCATATTTGGAACAATTTCTCATACATAACAAAAGCGGTATCTGGGTACACACTGCTTAAACATTATATAAAACAAGAATGCAGCAGTGTAATGTTCATTCCAATTTAATAGCTAACTTGCATTTATCAGGGGAAGCACTTCATCCTCTGCAAAATGACACATGAAAGCTATGTTAACAAGTGGAACAAACATTATGGTCTTGATTCTGATGACATTTATTATTACCTGTCTTTCAACTTCAACAGCTGAGGCAGCTAGTCTGCGCTTCAAAATTGATCTGTCTTGCTCACAATTTTCTGTCTCTGTGTCTAACAGAAAGTACAGGGGCAGAAAGATTTAGTGGGAAAGAGAATCCAACACAGATATTAAGAAAAGCTAAGAGACAAACAAACTAAATACTCGATAGAAACACATAATGAACTCGGACTTGCATTTCCATCCAAAACCTGCAATGTGTCCTTATAGCAATCCTGATCAGGTAACTAACTAGCATGGGAAATCAAGCAAGCAAGACTGGAGTTTCTTATAAGGATATGATTGTATCAGGTTCAGCCGTGAATTTTGTTTAATTTAACTTTGGATGAGCTTTCCAGGACATACATATAATTATCCCTAACTTTTATTCTTTTTGCAAACAATAAAATCTTGATTCAGGAATAAAAGGAAGCAATCACCTCTAAACTTGAGCTTTGGCGACAGACTTTGAAATAAAAAAGATTTTTGCTTGAATGAGAGTAAGATTGCATGCAATTCAATTTTATTAGAAATCAAAGGGACAAAGAATTGAAAATAAAAGTGAGAGGTATGTTGTAAATATCTTTGGTATTATAAGGATACATTTATTTCTTCCTACTTCCCTTTTTATGTTAGTTTCCCTATTTCCTTTAATAGGTTTAGTTGTTTATAGTTGAAATCAAAGCTCTGGATATCAAGGACTCGGTACTGTTTTGTGGTCATCTTGCCAACTAGGCTAGCGAATACCAGGGCCAGAGAGTAGTCTAGAGGTTCCTTGACACTGGACCGATGAATGGGAGATGACAAAAATATGTTAGCTTTCTTATTTAAAAATATATTTTTTTTTTGTAATTTTTTAAAATTTTATTATGTTAAAATTAAAATTTATATACATAGGGACCCTTATTTATTATTACAAAACAAATAAAAAAAAGTTAATTTTGATATGTTAATATAATCAAATGAATTTTGATCTTTATCCCCCAAACCAGAAGGAATACAAGTATTATTACCCTTAATGAGCACGGAAGGATGAGGATTGATATATCTCTGGGGATGACAACTTTGGATATGGGTCAATCACATGGAAGGGTAATTTCAAATCAAGGGGGTTTCTGAGGTGACTATGGAAGGAAGAGCTTAAGTTGGTTTCAATGGTAGGAATCTTGTATTCTGAGACCGACTTCAATGATGTTAGGAGCATAGACACTAGACATTTTCTGCCATCCATGTTCCAGAATCTTTACAAAATCTTGTAGGGTCTAAAATAAGAGGGGGTGGTGCAAGACTACAGGAAGAAATCTGGGACTTTTGCAAGACCACTTCTAATCGTAGAGCAAGAACAGCTTTAGGGAATCTTTTTGAAGGGGCTGAAGTAGATGAGAGCAATACAAAAGACACTCAATTGAATCATTCCATCTTTGTCTAATTCCGAAAGTATTTGTCCAAATTGGTGGACTTGGCCCAGCTCATGAATGAAGGTCTTAACCATGGAGAAATAGATTTCGAACTGTTGGATCTGTGAGGACCTGACAAGTAGCTAACATGAAGCTCTGGTGTTAGTCTCTCGCTCAGACTCTTATAGGGAGGTTGATCAATCTTTGTACTGCAACCTTGTGATCACTTGGCCATAATTACTTTGGATACGAAGAGAGGAAGGAGGAGCAGCCCTGGAATTAGAGGGCCAGGCCCAATGGAATGATTGTGGTAGAAAATGGTAAGATCTGAGTAAGTAATATTGCCAAAATCTCTACAGAAAGAGTGGAGAAAAGAAAATACCAGGTGTGACATAAGCCATTTTACAATGGTTAATTGATATTTGGACACAGTCTAAGGCTCAGAATGTTCCTCATAACTTATGTCTGTGGCGGTACTTGACTGTAGCGCTTTTGGATTTGTCAATTAACACTAAATTTTTATCAGTCGGTGAACCCAGAATGCCTGAGAAGCATCACATAAAATATTGGCATCTTCCAGTGCATCTATTTAAAGTATTAGCCATTCACGATATACATTTGCTATTAAAAGCAAAGTTACCACCACAACAATTAATTCCTATAGCTTTATTCAATTTTGCATTTCAGTCCCTCTAATTTGTTGTTTTGGATATCAGTTCCTTCTTTCAGCTTGCTGGATTTTGGTCCCTGTCGTAACGTTTTAGCCCCTAAAATATCCATAAAGATCTGGTCCTTATCTTTCAAATTACACATTGGTCTGAGTGGCCAAAATCTAAATAAGTGAAACTATAGGGCTAATCTTCAAAAGATTAAACTATAGGGACAAAATCCAAATCAGGTGAAACTACTATATGCTAATTTTAACCAACAAGCAACAAAAGAATTAAAATTGAACGATTCTTACCATAGTAATATGATGACAGGATAGTGATGCGTTCCATTGGCTGGAAAAAGAAACAGTAACAAAGGAAGAAATAATCATGTTGAGAAATCTTTAGCTTTGTAAAGGAAGAAGTAATCATGTTGAATAATTCTAAAATTTGCATCAAAAACATGAAATAAAAACATAAGCATATACACATTTGTTCTATCAGAAAACCAGCTGATCCAGGAAGATACAGTTTAGCCAATGGATCAGTTTAATGCTGATAAACAACAACATAGACCCCTAGTAAAGTTAAGAAATAATTTAGTTTCAAAACATTCTAAATGCTGACTTCAACATTCACTAATGAGCATAAAAAGTATAAGAAATACCGGTTCAGAGGTACTGACTTCACCCTTAAACATAAACAGTTGTTGTATGAATATAACTTTTTAAAGGAAACATATGAAATGAGAAGAACTCTTGTTATTGTAAGAAGGAAGCACAATAAATATAGACAAACTATTAGAAATTTAGGTCATATTTAAATGATCAAGATTAAAAGATAATTGCACACAAATTTTTAGTGGTCATTTAATCATTAAATCTTGATGTAAGGTTGTACGAACCAGATTTTTAGTTCTCATTATCTCTCAACAACCAAGACTTCTAACTCAATATATCCCTTTTTTCTGAATTATTCTATTAAAAAAAACACACACACACACACCCTCAATGTTAGCAATAAAAGCTTACAGGTGAATAAATTGAAGCTACATATTACTATAGAGAATTTTCTTCTTTTTCTCCCAACACATACAAATCTATGCACTTAAGTTTTAAGGATAACCCCTCCCCAACAACCTACCTTCTCTTTTCTCTTCTCCTACAGGCCTCAATAGCTCTGCCCATGGCTTCTCCACAGGTTTTAAAAAATGATAGACGCAGGGAAAAAGATATAAATTTCCTAAAACATGGAAACCTATGTATATGATAGAGGATTGAATTAAATGATGGGAAAAAAGAACAATGCACAAGATGGATAAGATTTTCTAGTATACCATCACAAATATACCCTCTTTACGGGTAGGTAGTTGCTCGAGCTTTGTCAATGTTTCATCACCTTTAGTAACTTTTCCAAATATCGCATACTGAAAAGGGCTTACATCAGTATATCAATTGCAAACATCACAAGATATGAGTGAATGGTTTGCAATGGTATTATATTGCAGTTTTAGTTAACCAACCTTTCCATCAAGATGAGGAGCATCTCCAAGTAGTATCGAAAATGAGGATGAACCACTGTCTGGATCATCATACCTTCAAGAACAAATTTCCATATGTAAGGTCTTCCAACAAGCTCAAACCAAATGAATGCTTTCAGAAATGTGCAAGCAAGATAATAATGAAAACTGTTACATATCTGATAAAAAATCGTGTCATGATTGTATATTCTACCTCACTCGATATATATTAAATAACGCTGCTGATAACATCTTCAATAAACTTGTATCAGTAATATGCATCAAAATAGCAGAGATTCCAAATGCTTCCACAGAGCTATCTTTTATCATTTTAGTCACTTTCAATTCATGGGATTTTACTCTTCTCCTTCAGGAATGCTACACAGTACCTAACCAAGCAATGCCTGCCAATCCTGTACAAACCTTAAGTCCCCTCTCCTGCTAAGTCAAGTCATTTATTCGGAAAATAAGGTTAATATTTAATACTAACGATATGTGTTCAAGTTGATGTTTGTCTCATGTTTATTGTTTATTAGGTCTGATTTGAAGTATATCTTACTTGTGCTTTATGATCTTAAGTTTGAAATATCTTAGAAGTTTTTATATTGAATTTGATGTAATTTTAATTTAATCTATTTGCTTTGTTGATTCTATAGTTAATTATATTATTAAAATAGTAATTTATTTTATCAACTTTTTGGAAATAAGGTTTATCAAAAGGAAAAACATATATCATTTAACTAAAGCGCGGTAATATGTCAAAGTATAGGATATAGGTACCCTAAGAATATAAAAATGAGGATTAAAGATGCTATTTATGTAAGTATGGGTCTCGGGATGAGTATTTTCTTAGTAGTGAGTATGGAGATAAATACTTTACCACCTTCTCCAAACTCTATTGTCATACCCCTATGAGATGCAAAGGTATCTTGGTGCCTAAGGCATTTGGGTGGAAGCCCAGAATATTCAAAAAAGATGGTGTGAGGTGCGTGACTCCTAGAACAAGGTCTTTGAATTGGGACCCTAACTTAGATGGTGTATAGGAGGGCTAGATCTCAGCCCAATATAATCACAATCGGACCTTTACCTACAAGAAAAGTTCAGAACAACTAGTGTGAAAATCAATGCTAAAAACAAATTCCGGAGCAAATCTTATTTTATGATCAACCTAATGAAAACTCACGTTCTCCATTCATTTTAGTTTTCATCTGTGAGATCTAAACTTGTTGATGTGATTTTTCCACTAACCAAAGCTTTAGGAATAGTTGGTTGATGAGGTGGTACCAAAACCTCTAGAACTAAGTGGTCTACAATACAATCCTCATTGCTCACAATTTTCTAAATACTAGTTAGAAACTTTCCAACACAAGGTTGGAAGGCCTGTATTACTAATATGCACACAACAAATCCAAAGGGCTCTTGCTTGAGGGGACATGTGAGATAAATAAATATAAAATCACTCAAAAGCTTTAACCCAAAAACTCAAGTTTAAGGGATAATTGGTTACAATGACCAAGATTATGAATGTACTTCTTCTCAACACTTGTAGTATGACAGTCTTATCAATCATTAAACCTTGGCCAGAGCACACCAATGGAATATGATTCAATATAACGCAAAGTTGAACACCATATTAAAATTGTTGAGACATGTTGTTTTTCTGTCTTTTTATATTCTCTGTGTATGTTCCTTAGACTAAGGCTAAGGGTTTGGGCTGAGACTCATATCCTCTCTATTGTATCTCTTTTATCTATAAATACAATGTAACAGTGCCTTTAGACATTATATTGAAACCCTAAATAAGTTTCTCAAGTTGGTATCAGAGCGGGTACAATCCTGAACTAATTTTCGATCATCCCTGTCATCTCCGGCCACCTTATGCCGCCATTTGCCGCGCGGCCACCATCTCAGTTTGGTCCGGAGAAGGTAAGGTTTGGTGTGCCTCGAAGAGCGCAACCCACCCTCGCCAATCGCTCATCCATTTGTGACCCCACGCGCAACTTTTCCAAGCGAAGCTCCTAGGCGCGTGTGTCCCACGCGCCGCCCTCTAGTGGCCAGAATCAAGGTCGATTACCACCGGTCGACTCACCGACGCCCTCCGAGTCTAGTGGTGTCCTTATTTTTTTATTTGAGAACTTTGGAAGTTAGGTCATGTGGGTACCCTATTGGTTATGTTTATCTTTCATCTTTGTTTCAAATAAATGGTTTCATCTAGTACTTTTTCTTTTTCTGCTACTCCCACCATAACCAGTGTCAAACTCAATTGGTAAAATTATCTATCCTGGTCTGCATCAATTGAACTATGGTTTCCAGATCAGGGGTATCATGACCATCTGGAGAAAGATGTGAACTCTGTTTCTGCCTCAGAAAGATCGTAGTGGGGGGAAATAGACTTCCAGCTTTGTGCAATCTTATGACAATCTGTGGAACCTGAGTTCTTGAGATTCTCAAGTCATTCAAAACATGTTTTTCCTTTTGGATAAAGGCTCAAGACATTTTTGCTAATGATATTCAGCGTCTATTTGATGCAACTCAAAGAGTGACGTTTTTCAAAGAGACAAATCAAGACATGATGTCTCACATTGCAAAAGCTAGGGCTCCTGTGGAGGAATTAAAAAGGTTTCTTGTAGCAAATACCTTAGAGGAGTTAAACTCCAAACTGGATAAGTTGTATATGGTCCTAATTTTGAGGAGCCTGCACTCTGATTTTGATCATGTAAGTGATCAAATCTTAGCTGGTGATCAGGTTCCATCAATGGATAATGTTGTCACGAGGCTAATTCGAGTTCCCAATCTTATGACAGATGAGAATCAGGTGGAGATAGTTGAAACTTCAACTATGGTTGCTCCCCGTGGTCGAGGAGGAGGACATAACAATCAGGAGGACGTGGGAGTACAAAAGGTCGTCCTAAATGTTCCTATTGCAAGAAGATGGGGCACACGCAAGAAAACTGTTATTCCTTACATGGTTTTCTAGAAAGGAATACCACTGTTCATGTTTCTAAGTCTAAAAAACCAGATATGAAAATCTCTGATGAAGAGTATCAAGAGTTTTTGAAGTTCAAATCATAAAAATTCAATAGCCAAGATCAATATTCTTTCATGCCCAGTGTTTCAACAAGATGCATTTCTCAATCTGTGGAAGGTCAAAACCCATGGATTCTTGATCCAAGTGCCTCTGATCATATATCTGGTAACAACTCCTCATTTTCCTCCATGTCCTATCCTAAAATTTCTCATTTGATTACTGTGGCTAATGGATCTAAAGTAAATTCATAAGGAATTGTTCATGTTCCTTTAACCTCTTCTTTGAATTTAAATTTTGTTCTTTTCATTCCTAATTACCCTTATAACTTGATTTCTCTAAGTCAATTGACTCATTCTCTGAATTGTTCTGTAACCTTTAATTTCAATTCTTTTGTTATTCAGGAACATGGTACAGGTCGTCCGATTGGAGAAGGACATGAATAACGTGGTCTGTACTATCTAAATCCAAGTCCTTCGGTGTCATCTATTGCTTCTCCTACTCCTAAACTTTTACATGATCGTCTAGGTCATCTAAGTTTACCAAAGTTAAAAGTGATGACTCCTAATCTCAAACATCTTTAGGGTTTAGAATGTGAATCTTGCCAATTAGGAAAACATGTTAAGTCTACCTTTCCTAAACACTGAAACTCGATGTAATTTTCTTTTTTCAAATATTCATTCTGATGTTTGGGGACCGAGTCATGTCTCTTCATTTAGTCCCAGGACAAGGATTGTTATATGAAGATAAAGGTAATACTCAAATTATAGGTTATTGTGATGCAGATTGGGTTGGTTGTCTCATCAATAAAAGATTTTCTACTAGATATTGTATCTTTATTGGAGGGAATTTGATTTCTTGGAAGAGTAAAAAGCAAAGTGTCGTTGCTCGATCTAGTGCAGAAGCTGAGTATAAATCTATGACACTTGTTATATGTGAACTTGTGTGGATCAAACAACTCCTTCAAGAATTAAAATTTTGTGATAATGGACTAATGAAGTTGTTTTGTGATAATCAAGCAGTTTTCCATATTGCATCCAACCCTATCTTTCATAAAAGAACAAAATATATCGAGATTGATTGTCACTTTGTTAAAGAAAATTAGTGTTTAAGGAACTTGTAACTGAATTTGTAAGCTTCAATGAGCAACTGGCGGACATTTTAACTAAATCCTTGAAAGATCCTAGGATTCAGTTCATTTGTTCCAAACTTGGTGCATACAATCTATAAGCTCCAGCTTGAGGGAGAGTATTGAGACATGTTGTTTTTCTATCTTTTTGTATTCTCTGTATACATGGTTATCGAACTCGTGGGTTGACTCGTACACCCGTACAAGTCAGCGAGTCACGTTACTATTTACGAGTTAACTCGTGTATAAACTTGTTCTTATTTTTACTCGGAGTGAACTTGGAGTAAACTCGCTGACTCGGAATAGACTCGCGAGTTTGAGAGCGAGTCACCGAGTCTGTCGAGAGGGACGAAACGACAAGCAAAAATGTCGTTAGCATTCCGATTTTAAACCCAAACCAAAGTCCCAACCACCCAAACCGAAAACCTAAACGAAATTAGATATTGAAACCCAAATCAAAAACCCTAATCAAAGAAAAAGAGAAGATCGAACAAGAAAACCCAGATCTAACCTTTGTATTCGCATTTCGTCATGCCCCGCAGCTCTGGTGTCATCGCATCGCAGCTCTGGTGTCGTCGCCCCGCAGCTCAGTGGCGTCGCAACTCCGGTCGCCTCGCGCTGCAGCTCTAATTGTCTCGCACCGCAGGTCTGTCAAGTCTGGTTCGTGCGTTGGAGTGTAAGTGAGGGTGCATTGCGTTTCTTTAATAGTTACTGCGTTGCTAAAATTTTATTTATTTATTTCTTTATTCATTGAATAGTTAGTATAAGCCAAAAATCTAGTTGGTAAAAAAAAATTTATTCATTGAATAGTTAGTATTTATAGAATTTATTATCTCGTTTTATTTATTGAATTTATTCTTTGTTGCATATTTTTTTTTTATTTTAGTTGTCTTTTATAGTTGTTCTAAAAAAATAAATTATTTTATTTTTAGTTGATTGAGACTGGTTTGCAATGTTTGAAAGTGGGACTCGCTTCAAATTCTTATGATTCCAATGTTAATGTATCTTCACTATCTAGACCTCCTAGACCTAGAAGTAAAAATGCTAGGAAACCGGACCGACATTGGATGGAAACACGGAACAGATGTTTTGGATAATGGAAAAAAGGTTAAATGTAATTATTACTCAAAAATATTCAATGGAGGAATTTTCAGATTCAAACATCATCTTGCCAGTACTAGATATGATTCTGAACCCTGTGCCTCAGTTCCAGAAGAAGTGAAAGTTGTAATGATGAAAGTTGTGACAGAGGCTAAAGATGTTTCTGAAAAGAAAAGGAGGCGAAATAGAATTGATGAGTATGATGATGAGCACATTCAAGAGATGGATACCACTCAAAGTAGTAGTAGTATGACATTCAAAAATAAAGGAAAGGACAAATTCAGTCAAGGTGTTCAATCTACTTTAAATCAACTGTATAAGAAAGGGGATAAAGAAAAAGTTGATGCTCAAGTGGCGGAATTTTTTTACACAAGTGTCATTCCATTCAATGTTATTAGAAATCCTGCTTTTACAGATGATTGGAAGATATGGAGTTGGCTACAAACCCCCCATCATATCATGATATTAGAGAAAAACTTTTGAAACAAGCAGTGCAAAAAACCGATGTAATCCTTGAAGAGTATAAGGAGTGGAAAAGAACAGGTTGCACAATCATGTCTGATGGGTGGATTGTGTTTCTTTACTCATTGGATTCATCAGATATCTCAAAAACTGCAGATAAAGTGTTTAAGATGTTGGATGATGTAATGAAATTTGTTGGAGAGGAGAATATGGTTCAAGTTGTTATCGATAATGCTGCAAATTTCAAGATAGTTGGAGAGTTATTGATGCAAAACAAGAGTATTTGTATTGGACCGCATGTGCTGCTCATTACATTGATTTGATCTTTGAAGATTTTGAAAAACATTTGAAGGTCCATCAAACTACTATCAAGAAGGGAAGAAGAATCACTACCTATATTTATGGTAGAGCAATGCTAATTAGCATGTTAAAGAAGTTTACCAAAGGTAGAGACTTGATAAGGCCAAGTATGACTAGATTTGCCACATCTTATCTAACTCTTGCATGTCTTCATGAATTGAAAGCATCATTGATGAGCTTCTTTAGCTCTGATGAGTGGAAATCAAGCAAATTTGGAACTTCAATAGAAGGGGGAAAAATTGAGCATGTGGTATTAGATAGTCAGTTCTTGAAGAATGTAACCACTTGTCTCAAAGTTGCTGCCCCTTTGATGGTGGTCCTTCGATTAGTAGATTCAAATATAAAACTCGTAATGGGTTTCATTTATTAAGAAATAGATTCTGCCAAAGAGAAGATCAAATTTAACTTTAATAATATTAAGAAAAGATAAAATTTATAAACCTTCTCTCTTTCAGATTTTCATTATTTATTTTGTGTAATTATTTATAACATTGCATGATTGCATCATTGTAGTTATGAACCTGTTTGGAACATAATTGATGAGAGGTGGAATAATCAGCTTCATAGACCTTTGCATGCAACTGCATATTACCTTGACCCTCACATGCACTATGAACCTAATTTTAGAAATGATGATGTGGAGGTAAAAGAAGGGTTGTATGAATGCATGAAAAGATTGGTCAAGGATGTTGCGAGAAAGGAAAAAATTAATTTACAACTTCTAGAGTTTCAGCTTGCAAAAGGACTTTTCTCAATGGAAAATGCAAAAGATTGTAGGAAAGTTATGCTTCCTGGAGAATGGTGGGAGATGTTTGGAGATGGAACTCCGGAGTTGAAGCGATTTGCTATTTGAGTTTTGAACTTAACTTGTAGCTCCTCTAGGTGTGAGCGTAATTGGAGCTCATTTGAAATGGTAAGTCAAATTTGTTAAGTTATTATTTGTTTTTAATTTTTTGTATTTAAACATTCATATTTATTAATAGGTTCACACAAAAAGAAGAAACCGTTTGCACCAGAAAAAGAAGAATGACTTGGTTTATGTCATGTACAACTTGAAGCTCAAAAATAAACAAAATAGGAAAACAATTGCTCTCCCATTTGATGATATTGAGTCTGATGATGAATGGATAACAGAAGATGGTGATAATGTTGGGATTGAGCCAGTTCAAACTGAAGGTGATGAGGAAAATGTTGACATAGCTGAACTAAGTTTAGTTGATCCTACTTTAGAGCCAATTGATCTTGATAATATAGTGTTTGATGCCAATGTTGATGATGCACTCTTATCATTCGAGGAAGAGGTTGACGGTGATGGAGAAGACGATGATGAAGATGATAAAGATGATGATGTTGGAGATGATACAATTAGAGGATCGGAGCCAGAAAGTTGAAGTTATTTATGTTTTGGTGATTTGTATTTACTTATGTATTTGGTGTAATTTGAACTTATATAACAATCATGTGTATTGAACCAAGTTATTTTATAATTATTGAACTATTATTTTTTATTTTCATTAATTGTGATGATGAAATTCTAAATTTGTATTATTATATAGAATTTTTCATATGAAGTAGACTCTTACGAGTCTACGAAGCTCTCACGAGTCTACGAAGCTCTCACGAGTCAACGTAGACTCTCGAGTCTGATAACCTTGTCTGTATATATTCCTTAGACTAGAGTTAAGGGTTTGGGCTGAGGCCCATATCCTTTCTATTGTATCTCCTTTATCTATAAATATAATGTAACAGTGCCTTTATACATTGTATTGAAATCCTAAATAAGTTTCTCAAGTAAAATTAAACAGGTATTTGCTGAAAATCTACACTGATCATGAACCTGTGAGACTTGGTAATCACCAGTAACCACATTTCTAACTAGTTAGTTTTAGATTTTGCATAGAAAATAAAATTTGAAGTCAAGCTAAACTAACACAGACTGATAGTAATAGCTAAAAGCTGTTAAATCAGTCTAAATGCAACTTAATAACCAAACAAAAAAAGAAAGTGATAAGAATGACATAAAATCTAGAGCTTCAGCAGAAATATGCTATTGCAACCAGCAATTACTGTCCGGAGAGACCTAACCTTCCCATGGAAAGAATACCCCGAACATGTTTGACTTCACTAAATTCACCAACAACAGTCTTTACAGCCTCTCTTTTCTGTTCCTCATTCATGGGAGCCGATCTTCCATTCGCAACATCTGCTACTTGGGCCACAAATCCTTTATCCACCTGGATATTGAATCCAAAACCATTTACTCACAAAGCAATACAACACCCACCAACTTCACAAAACCCAATGCTCCCTAGCTTTGTTTCCAGAGAACAATACCCGAAAGAAATGGTTGGTGTTGTAGCCTCCAAGTCGCACGAGCTTAAAAATGTGGTCAACAGTTTTGGGTGCAACAGTTGGAAAGAAACCAAATTCTATATCACCATACTTTGTCTGCATCAAAAAACACAAGAATCTAAGTGACAGCACAGGTAACAAACAAAAAACAGAAAATTGATATCAAATTCAGAAACAAGTTATCTAACTGCAAGCAATATGGGATATTTCACTGAATAAGCTACTTAATTCCCGTTGTAACTCATACCTAGAACATAAATAACTGACATCTTCTCTATCAAAAACAAGGGTTATCCATTGTTTGAGCTTCTTCATCACTTAATATACCACATATAGAAACCACAAATACAATTCTAAACACTGAAAGCACTAAGCGTGTATGAAACTCAAATCAAGGTTTTACGGCAAATCCTAGCAATTATAAATAAATACAAAAAAAGGATCAAGCTTCATACAAAAATTCAAATAGAAAAACCTGAAAGACGACGCGAGTCGATCCCAGTTTGGGTTCCAGAGCGAAAATTGCAGATATTAAGGCCAACAAAGTGCAACCTTTGATCCAAAAACTGAATCCTGGTATCCACATTTCGTCCAACGCTAGATTTAGCACCTTTTCACCACCTAAAATTGGAGTCAACCATTACAAGTACAGAAAACCAAAAATTATAAAACTTTTGCTGTTAGTGGTTATTAATATTAAGTACCATTTGCATCTTCGTCCATTTTATTTTTTTTCAGGAGATTTGTTTTCGTTTTTTTTTTTTTTTTTCAAGAAATTGGTTCAAACAATTTCCAAGCCATGAATATGAAAACGTGGCTTAACAGCGTGGCATAGTTCTGGCCTGTTTAAGCCCAAAAAAGAATAATTTATGGCCCATTCTTCTATTCACACAAATCGCTTGTTTTCTGTTTACACCTTTCTTTGGGCTTTCTATATTTCCAAAATACTTCTGATCCCCCTCCTCTTCAGACACCCCTAGCTATTTACACAAATTTTATGAAAACAAATTTGCATTAGTAAATTGAAGTAAAAAATATATATTACAGAAACTAATTCCAATTAACATAACTTTATTAAGAAAATTATTTTCCCTGAAGTATTTTTATTAAAAAAATACATAAATCCCTAGTGCAAAAGAGTGAAACGGATGGTGTGAATAGTATCATTCTGATATTAGTTTTAATTTTGGGCTCAAGGAAGTAGCCTTAACGTAAATTAGATCCTTCAGCATGTATATTCACAGGCTCGTGGGCCTTAGATTAAATTGTGGGTTTCAAAAGTTCAACAGAAGGCAAAGAATTAAAAAGAACTTTTTTAAAGACAAGCAATTATAAAGTTTGATTTTTAAGTGAGATATGGAAATTCATAGAAAAAAAAAGTGACATATACGTATTGAAATATGTTTCACCACTGAAGAAATAATGTGTTCACGTAAAGATGGCAAACTAAATTACATATTCAGTGGTAAGTTTCCCATTAAGGATTCAAGACACCGTTATAGAATATCCATTCCCCATTAGTAAAGTTTAATTTGAAAAAAAAAATGATATTTTTATAATACCCATTATTTGATGTTACAATTCCTTCTTCCTTTTTTTCACTTTTCGTTTACTATTTGCTGAAAATCACTCTGGGGAAAACCTATTCGTACAAAAGTTGGAAAGACAAAATTACAAGTGATTATTATGATGATGGAGACTTTGAAAGGCAGAAAAGTAAATTATAGGTACCTGACCCTCATAGGCCTAGGCTGAAATTTTGGAACACATTCTAATGTTTAGGTTCAACGTTTCCACATAGAAATGATAGTAACAACCTAATTTTACTATGAAGCACTTTGTAAACAAGAAGTGTGGGAGAAAAGATGAAGTCTATTCACGATAAATGAAAACCCCCGTTAAGTTCAAAGTCAATCATTGTAAGCAAACTGTTCACTAAGCACAGGAGAAGACTACTACACAGTACCCCCTCCCATCTTGGAAGCCCTAGAGAAAATCCTTTTCAGAATATGCCAATTTCAATTGGGCAAATCAAAACCCAAGCCAAATTCCTTGCAAGTAGATGAAGAATTTCTTCTATTAAGAAAAAAAGGGGGCATATGTGCCAGGTTTTAAAAGATTGTACTTGTGATCACATTTTGGCCAGGAATGCCACTGAAGGAAAACTTTATTCGGTAATAAGTTTTAAAAGATTGGCATTTAGCACCTTTCTCAATCAAGTGTAATTGCAACGTTTGTTGTCCATCAAAAACAATTCTATTCTTCTTTAAGCAGAACATGAACCTGATTCCAACTCTATTATTGTGGCCCAAAAGCCCAGCCCCATTGGGTAAACCTCGAAGTGTCTACTAATCCCTATCACTTGGAAGCCTTGCAAGAAAACCTCACCTCTCAAATCACTCAACCAACCTAATCAAATATACCTTTCATGATTGGACATCAAGGGTTTACTTTATTTTACCTATTGCTGTAATATGTGCTTTGTATTCTACTATTTAAAAAAAAAAAAAAAAAAAACTGTACTAGAAAAGTAAATCAAGGGTTTAATATCCTTACAAGAATACTAGCAAAAAATCAACAAAACAATAGCCTAATTGATAAAAACGAAAACCTAAGGAAAACATAGTATTCAGTGTTTGCTTTCACTATCAATATCATGGTTCAAAGTTTGAGTCAACATTTAAGAAAGCGGTTTCCTAAATACACCAAGTCTATATGGGAGGAGCATTATTAAGAACACAATTGAATTAAGGTGCAAAAATTGACTAAGAAGTTGTTTTAATGATTTCGACGACAAAGTATTGGGGACATATACATTGTACACGGTAAATACTAAACAATTATGATGCATTCTACTCAAAGAATCAACTGTCTTTCTCCGACACTTGTGTTTTAAAAGTGGTATATGGAGTCAACATACACATTGTACAAAGAGAAAAAAAATAAGATGCATTGGATATATAACTCTTTGTATTTTGTCTTCAAGTTAATTTCAAAAGGGTGGGAAAATCAAAGGACTTTTACTTTATTTTTGAAAGATGGCGTAACCAAAACTAAGAGTGCATGTTACCCTATATTTTTCCTTGGAAGTATAGATAATGATGATGCATGTTGCTTACATATATTAGTTCCCATATTGGCTATTCATGACACACAATTTAACATGCTATATAGGCTCCGACCAACATAAAGCCAAAATTGAATAACCACAAGGGAGTTAAAGTTTACCAAAATCCAATTTGGGTTTGAAGGCTTCTCATAAGTCACACTAACCCATGATGGGTACCACTTAGAAAGAAGTTCCAAGCAAAAAGTTAACAATGAAATCATCGTATTAAAGGGTGAGTGTGAATTCAACCACCGTCATTTCTAAACACGTTCTTTTACTATTGCACCGCTAAACCCAATCTTTTCCTTTTACAATCAAATCTAAATGCACAACAATAATAATTAATTCTGGTCATTATTAACCAAAGGTTCTAGAAGAGAAGATTTCTTCTTCTTTTCCTTTTTTTTTTCTTTTTTTCCTAAAATGAATTATAATAAGAAGAGATTATTATCCAAAAGCTGAAAAAGTAAAAGAGTTTCAACTATCCACACAAGCACACTTACCTTCACACACGTAGTCTCGCCCACAACTCCTACAACCCCAACCAAACACATTCTCGATCAGAAAACGACCTCAATTTTTTTATTAAAATAATAATAATAATAATAATAATAAAATAAGCACTTTATAAGAAGGGGTTATCCTCCACGCAATTGAGTTTTTCTTTTGGTACAAAATAGATATCATTATCTAATATAATCAAACACGTTTTGAGCTTATTTACTCTCCCAAAAGGACTTCTAACCACCAGGGTAGTAGTCTCAAATTTTGGTTCACCTCAAACCAAAACTTTGTTGGCTTATTATTATAAGGTAAAAATTGAATATGGGGTGGGGTTTTGGGAGCACCATGTTTGAGGGCATGTGGTGAAGCATAAAATGCAGGAAAAATGGCTCCATGAGGGTGATGTTTAATAGTGTTAGGCATAGAATAGTGACAGAGATAGACCACTAATTAGTTGTCGGCCTTCAGATTTAGAAAGAGTGGCATAATGGGGTGTGTGTAACATTTTCCAACTACCTTGAACTGCAACCTCAATTCGCACGCAATCTTCGTCCTCTCTTCTACCTTGTTCATTCTTGGCAAAAATTTTAGATCTCGGTGGTTAGTTTATTCTGTGAAATAAATTTGTGGTCTAGCTAGCTACTCAAAGTTGTCCCAGTCATTTCTTCTTTTATGTCCAATGATAATTATACATGATTACGTAAATTGAAATTTTGAAACATGTTTTAAAAAAATGTGAAACATTTCTTCTTTTTATGAGTAGTCGATGTCTTTGTAAAATTGATTAAGAGATTTGGGTCACTTTTATCCTACGAATAACATATTCAAAATTATTTCATTCATATTCTACCACACGATTTAACAATTATCCCTCGATTATCTTACTTTAAAATGTATTTATTCTCATCCTTGAAACATTTTTATTGAAACACATCTATCTAGACTAATTCCATATAAATTTTAAGATTTATAAATAAAATAAAATAATTAAAAATAATAATTCTTCATGAAAGGGGATATAAATGGGATTCAAAATAGTAAAATAAGAGATTGTTTATTTTAAGAAGAAGAGGAGTTATCCATATTCTTCATGTTTTTTATTTAATTCTTTTAATATAATGATATCAAATAATAGTTTATTTTAATTATTAATATTATAAATAAACGAGTGACAATGATAAGAATAAGTTTTTCATATTTTTTTCATTCATTTAATTTTATTAATTTAAGAGTTAAAATAATAATTCATTTTAATTATCAAATTATAAAAATATAAGATTATTAATTCAAAATTTTTATTTTTCACTTTTTCAAAAAATATTTATTCAATATTATAGTTTTTAGCACAAATGTATAATAAAAAAAATATTAAAAACATAAATACAAAATTCATAAAAAAGAAATCAAGTAGAAACACATTTCGTATCAATTAAGTTGAGGAAGATTTTTTTTATGTAGATAAAATAAACAAGATATAATAAAATATTTATGTAAAATTTGAATATAAATAATAAGATGAGTCAATTTACCGTTTCTCTAACCCATACAAATGAGATATATGCGAGCGGATCTGTCATAATTAAGACGGATCATAGATCTCAATTCTTTTTACTAAAGAGTAGATATCAGTTTAACAATATATATTTTTTAAATCAATTTTTTTACTTATATTTAAAAAAAAAACATATATCTTTAATTATATAAATAATTTTTTTATTTATTAATTAATATTTTATTAGATAAATTAAAAATATTATATTTATATATCAAAATAACTAATTATAATCAATAATTTAAATTTAATTAATTATTTTTTATAATTTAAATTTTAATATTATAATATATTTATCTATCTTAATAATATAACACACAAATATAATATTTTTATTATAATTTTTATTTTAATATATAAATTATTTTATAGCAAATCAAAATGAATTAATAAATTAAAATTATCAATTAATCTAACCAAATTTAAAACAAGTTAGTGGTTCAATATCTCATATTTAACTCATTTTGTCATATAAAATTCAATTAAAATACTTCTTATAAATAACTTGCTGAGTTTTTTTTTTCACCTTATTCATTTTTCTCACAATAATATTTATTCGTATTAACATAACCAAACCAAACTAGTACGTATTTTCGAGGTTAGGGTTAATTTCTCCTCACACCTCACCCAGAGGAAGAGCTAGCACGAATCAATGGTCCTTTCTTCATATTTCTCATATCATACATATATTTCTTATCCACTTATTCTCACATTGTTGCCTTCAAATCTTGTTGACGCTGAACCTATAAAAACATATATTGTTAAAAACAAAATTTATCAATAAAAAAAAGTCGAATAAAAAATACAACGACGGCCATGTTCACATTTTTTTAATACATACGTGTGTAATTGTCTTTTATGGAAGTTAAAAAAAATAAAAATTATTAGGTATAAGCAGGTTTATTGACATGCCTTTTTGTACAAATGAACTGATTTTTAGAATTCTAAATTAAGGGTTCGATTCTCGTATTTGTAAAGGAAAAAATAAAATATTATGAAAATAAGAGATTCTATTAAAAATAATTCGTCATGCCTTTTCGACGTATATTAATCACAAAGTCGATTATTCTTTGTACTAACGTTAATCATCATTGCGAGTTTAATTTTTAAAAACATCACTATATATTTAATGTAATAAACTTGGATAACTTATTTCAAAAATAATTTTTTAATAAAAAAAATATTAAAAAATAAATTAGTCTAACTCAGTTTCTGAATTTTCTCTACGACACTCCACGCATCAATGAAAAGGCGTATGCGCAAACTTTAACGGGAACAAAAAAATTTCCGATTCGGCTTTCGTTGTCTTTTTCGTTTTCTTGAGTGAATCAATCACGCCATAAACACACACAAGTTGTGAGCATGAAACTGAAAATTGTGGAAGCACAACGAAGAAAGTGATTTTCATAAAAGAGTGGGGGGAGTGACACAATTCATTCCTGATTTGCCATCAAACTCAGCAACTACCGTAATTGAATAAAATTCAATTCGTAATTCACCAAAGATTCTCCATTAAAATAGACAATGTTACCAAGCATGATTAAGGGAGGTGGGTGATGACCTTTCTCTTTATTATATTTATTTAGGGTTGTAGTTAAGAGTGAGAAGATTCCCAATGGGATGGAATCAACCCTAACTTTAATAAAATATAATTTATAAGGAAAAAAAAGAAAGAAAGAAAAAGGAAACCGTCCTAAATGGTTGTGGTTATTAAGATGCAAACGTTTTCCAAGGCCATTTACAGCAACAAGAATAAGAAGAGCATCTAATCTTTGCAAGGCTCCTCCAATTTCTTTTATTTTGAGAAACAAAAAGAATATAATTAAGAAGGGAAAGGAAATTGATGGTGGGAGAGAAAAGCAAGGGAAGGGAAAAGAAAAAGGGAAGGTACAAGGGACAGCACTATTATAATTAAGACGCTAAATGTATAATTTAATAGGAGTAATAAATATGGGAAACTTGAAATCGTGGTTTAAGACAAGTTATAAATGCCATGGCACACTACTTAAGTTTTTGTTTTAGTCTCACATTTTGAGTAGTATCTTTTGGCGAAGGGCTAATGGTACATGGTCGTTTTCAGGGTGGGAAATTGGGTGGTTTAAAGGAACCATTTTGGGAGGGTGGGGGTGTTCTCTTTGTACCAAAACAAGAGGGTTTTTGG